TTTATCACCTCGCACCGCTAGGGCAAACGATTCGAGTACGCGGAACGTTATTCCTGGTCTCCTGAAACCACGCTCTAAACTACACGTAGGAGCTTTTAACGTCCGAACACTGTGCCAAATAGGACAACAGGCTTCCTTAGCTAGGACTTTAGAATCCCGCGCCATCGATGTGTGCTGCGTCTCCGAAACGCGCATACAGGATCCGAGTAGCGTCATTCATTTGACCTCACCATGCCAAAATAAAGAACCGACTCGATTCACACTTCGTGTATCTGGAAGCCCTGATTCTGCTTCCCGTGGCCTCGCCGGCGTAGGTATAGCATTGAGTCCTAGGGCAGAACTAGCTCTCTTAGAGTGGATCCCAGTAGACAGTCGTTTGTGCGCTGTCCGACTGAACGGAACAGTAAGAATCCGGAAAGATAGGGACACTCGTCGTTGCCTCTTCGTCGTCTCTGCCTATTCTCCCACTGACTGCAGCTCAGATGATGTAAAAGATGAGTTTTACAGAAAGCTTTCGGACCTTCTCCGAAAAGCTAGGCGTTCGGATGTAGTAATAGTGGCCGGTGACTTTAATGCTCAAGTAGGTAAACTAAGCGATAGGGAAAGACACCTAGGTGGATCTTATGGTGTCGTGGCTCAAAGAACAGATAATGGCGACCGTCTGTTGCAGCTATGCTCAGATAACCGCCTCTTTCTTGCAAATACTAACTTTAAGCATAAGGAAAAACATCTTTTAACATGGCGACCCCCTAATTCGTCCCAACGTTGGACCCAAATAGATCACATCGCTATCAGCCACCGATGGAGGGGCTCGATAGAAGACTGTCGCTCATTCTGGAGCACATGCTTAGATTCAGATCATGCTCTAGTGCGAGCGCGTATTTGCTTGCGTCTTACTGGACGTAGGAAAGACGCTGCAAGGAAACCTCTTAGGGCCTACTTAATGATAGTCAAGCTAAGAGTATATTTCAGGAACAACTAGGAAAACAGTTAGGCAGCCATGTATGTGATGCCCACCCCGAGGCAGCATGGAATGATATCCGAAAAGCTGTGGAAACAGCAGTGATATCTGCTAGTAAGGTAAACCAGAAGGTTAGGGAGCAACACTGGATCTCAGCAGCATCTATCGCACTGATAGATGCTCGGAAACTCATTCCACCTGGCTCTGAACATAATGAAGAGCGGAGTCAGCTTAAGCGCAAGCTGACAAGAAGTCTACGCAATGATCGTGAACAGTGGTGGGTAGCGAAAGCAAGAGAGATGGAAAAGGCAGCGGCAATAGGTAATAGCAGACAATTGTTCAGACTTGTTAAGGAAACCGACTGTTAGAGAAACAATCTCAGAGAAAGATGGACATATTATTCATTCTCAATCCAGGAGATTGGATCGATGGGCAGAACACTTTAGGGATCAGTTCAACTGGCCTTCAGCCACACTTCGGTTTCCCACGATCTCCAGTCAACCTGAATGGCAAGTTAATGTAGGTCCTCCGACTCTTTACGAAGTTGAAAAAGCCATAGGAAATCTGAAGCGAGGGAGAGCAGCAGGCCCTGACAGGTTTACTCCTGAGATTTTTAAGGATGGTGGTCCAGTATTAGCAGTTAGATTAACCGAGGTCATAGGTAGAATTTGGGGACTGTACGTAATCCCATCTGACTGGTCTCAATCACTGATTGCGCCAGCATATAAGTCAGTCAGCTACAACGTAGGACCAGGCACATATATGCATCGGTCCAAGTTGCCATACCTCATTAACACAACAAGATGGACACCGGATTCATAAAAGTAGTTAATTCAGAGGTGGTAATATATAAAAGAAAGATTGCAATAAGGATATAGTACAGGAAGAAAAAATTTGTTCGTAGAAAGAAAGATATGAAGCAGTTTTAATCTCTTAGTTTAAGGGAAGATAGAGAGTGTATACACCGACGCAATTGTGATCGATTCCGAGCCGTCACCAAGAGTCTCCAACCATTGGTTACGATGGTCACGTGGACACCAACCAAGTAGTCTACATCTCCCAACATGACTATGACTAGACGTTAGTGACTTCAAGCACTGATGCCACGTTTTGGTTTGGCCGCCCCTAACTTTCTTCCGACCATCTCCAACACCGGTCGGCATTGCACGTCGTGATAATCGGTGTTCAGGCATACGTAACACGTGGCCGAACCATCTCAGTCGATGAAGATTCACAACCTCATCGATTGATTTACCATCATTCCTTAATACCCTGCGTCTAACCTCACTATTACTTACCCGGTGATCCCAGCAGACGCCAGCAATATTTCTGAGGCATCTGAAGTCAAATACTAGTAGTTTACGAGTGTCTTCTACTCTTAATGGTCATGTTTCGCTGCCGTAAATTAAAACAGAACGGACTGCTGCGCAGTATACTTGTCCTTTTATTGATAGACGGATATCTCGCCTTCGCCAAAGGTTGGCAAAAGCCAAACGAGCTTTTCGAATCCGTGCTGAGATTTCGTCCGATACCAACCCATTAGGGCTGATCAGACTTCCAAGATAAGTGAAGTTGTCAACGCGTTCGACTACTTCACTCCCTATCTTCAGTTCAGGTGTTGACGCAGACCAGTCCTGAAGCAACAACTTGCATTTAGAGGGAGAGAAGCGCATTCCAAACATTCTGGGATTGTTGCTCAGTGCTACCACAAGACTGCATTTTATCAGCGTCTTCACCAAACAGGACTATATCATCTGCGTATTCTAAGTCGATAAGTGGACCTCCTGGATGGAGATCAATACCCGAGAGCTCAGTCGACGAGAGTGTTATTTCCATCAATAGGTCTATGATGAAGTTAAACAGAAATGAAGAAAGTGGACAGCCTTGACGGACACCACTTGAGGTTGCAAAAGTAGATGACAGTTCGCCATAAGCTCTGACTCGACTGGTAGTGTTCGGGTTCACTCTCCCCATTCTTGTTCAACTTTGTCATTGACGTACTTCTGTAAATAACACTCCTCATCTAAATTTCCAGGGGTCGAACTTCTACCGGGGGTTCACTTGTTGACTTGGAATATGCTGATGACATAGTTCTATTTAGTGAAGACACTGACAAAATGCAGTCTTCTGACCACTCTAAGCAACAATAGAAGCACATTCGGATGCGATTCTCTCCCTCGGAATGCAAAATGTTGCTTCATGATTGGGTTACGTCGACACCCGAACTAGTGATAGGGAGTGAAGTAGTTGAGTGTGTCGACCGCTTCACTTATCTTGGAAGTCTCATCAGCCCTTGTTGTCTGGTGTGTGACGAAATCTCAGCACGGATACAGAAGGCTCGATTAGCGTCATTTATGGAGTAGGTGAGATATCCGTCTATCAACCAAAGGACGTGTTTACTGCGCAGCAGTTCGTCCCGTCCTACTTTATGGCAGTGAAACATGGCCGGTGAGAGTAGAGTATATTCGTAGGTTACTAGTATTTGATCATAGGTGTCTTCGAAACATTGCTCATATATCCTTGGACCATTGAGTAAGTAATGTAGTTGTTAGGAAACGGGTACTAGGTAAGGATGGCAAATCAATTGATGAAGTAGTGAAACTTCATCAGTTGAGTTGACTGGGACACGTGTTACGTATGCCCAACCATCGACTACCTCGACGTGCTATGTTCAGTGGTATAGGAGTAGGTTGGAAGAAAGCTAGAGGCGGCCATGAAGTCACTGACAAGTGGACTGAACCATGCTGTTGGGTGTAGACTACTTTGTTGGGGTCCGCGAGACGATAGTAACCGATGGTTAGAGACCCTGAATGACATGGCTCAAAATCGTTTGCAATGGCGCAGGTGCATCCACTCTGTGTTTTCCCAAATTCTAATCTTCTGAATTCTTCATGTCCCTTTTTTCCTCTTTCCAAATTTACTTCACTGTATTATCCTCTTTAAATAACATCTTCAAACCTTAATCTTTCCGATTACTGCTTATAGTCTTACCGCCTCTACCACTACGGGATTTGAATCGACAACTGTATGTGTGCTAATGTGGTGTGGCAACTCGAACTGGTATTCGTACGTACGAAGTTCTACGTTGTTACTGACTGACTACTGTCGTCACATCCAAACGTAATATAACTGCATAACCATACTATAACACAACTGCTAATAGTAATTCATCATCCCTTATAGGTAATGCTATGACACAATTTTAATATAATCAGCTTTATTCTGTTAAATCTTGTAAACACGTCAAATAGCAATTAGTAACAACCTAGTGCTTGAGTCGCTTACCAGTTGTGAAATTTTACTGTAAATAGATTCAGTTAGCACCACTCCTTTTCCATCTCACCTACCTGGTTACATATATTTCAGTCAGGTTGCAGCCACACCAATATTTCTGACGAATATGGATTTGTTTAGTATTTTCACGACTGCAGCTGGTACCGTGTTGTGGTGGTCGTGTCTACCTATTGTCATGGATCAGTCGAGCTATAATGATCGTTCGTCTTGGTTATATTATGCCAGAAATCGGTTAGAAAACGCCAAGAATAATAGTAGCATTTATAAGTCCGGGTACGCAGTCGTTCTTCTGACTGTACAGGGGTATGATGGTATTAATGTATTTTTCCTGAAAAACCAGTAACCATAGTATATACTGCTGTCTGATGACGAAAGCTACAAATTGGAAATTGATCCCCAAAAATAGCCTTTGGATCTGTTGTCACGATCTCATGTCACTAAGACCACCACTAGCCCAGTTTCATTTTCATGTCCCCTTTCACGGTGTGGGCAACTGAGCGTCAGCCACTCTTATACCTCTAACAGCACCCCAGACAACCTTGTCCACAATCAAGTCTTTTCATCAGTGTTCCACTGATAATTAACTTCTACTATTTACTCGACCACTTTGTTTCCCCAATACTATTCGCAAATATTTATCTTTTTATTTCCCTTTTCTCCTATTTTATCAGTTTTTTTAAGTTCGTGATAAATATGCATGTCATTTAGTTTGTTCCTTCTAATCCCTCTTATTCCTTAAAGATTTATGGAAGAGGATCCATGTGTAGTGCTTGGTTCAACGGTTTCTGATATAAGTGATCTGAAAAAAGATATCGTTAGTCTTGGCCGTGTTCTAAGAGCTTGTGATTTTCAAAACGTGGATGATTTAAAGGACATTGATGAAATTAATTCATTCCCATATAAAATGTATTGTTACGAGGAAAAGAATGAAATAACTTCATGTGGGACTATTTTTTCTGATCTCAAAAGTATCAAAAGCCTTTTATCCGATACCTCTAGTGCTTTTTCATCATACAGTGAACAATTACGGACCGTATCTTCAGTTGTTAACAAACTTTCAGAACTTCCCAAAGTAGCATTGTCCGAAAACTCGTGCCTGGGCTCGATAGAAACAGAGCAAGATTTCTATCACCTGTTAAGTACATTGGCTAGAGGTTTACAAAGCGGATTGTTTGCTCGTATACGGGAATTGAGTACATTTTCTCTAGACAAATGCCTAAGTGAATTTATAGACCAATATAATGAGCTGAATATAAAATATAATGAACTATTAGTAATGTCGTCTCAAATACCTACAAAACAGTCAAGTTCTACTGTTCTCCTCGACCAAACTGCTGTCTTTGAAATGCTTGAAAGAGAAATGAGCAATTCCGCCAAAGAAATTGAACATGTCCGTTCCAGTTTTGAATCTCGTTTAAACTCCATCACTGCTGATTGGGAATGTGAACGGTCAAAGTTGATGACGGAGTTGCACAAAAAAGAAGGTAGACGATGCTTTCTGTAATCATACCCTTATCTTTGCAATGTTTTCCTCATTTCCAACGTATTCTGTTGGCTGTCACTAGTTGATCTGACTGTTTACTTGCCTGGAACGTAATCACGTTTTCTAGATCTATCTTCATGCCTAAAAAGGTGAACAAATACTGGTAGTATATTTATCATGTTCTGCGGTCTTCATTCAGCTTAAATGAAATATAGAGGTTATTATTGCCAAACCAACTATGTAATGTAAGTGTTTTTCACATGGGGTTAAATTAATAATTGTCGGAAAACACCTTCCAAGCTTACCTTGATTAATAATTGACTGACAACTAATTTAGTATATCTCCACTCCTCAGAGCTGTTCGAAATTTACCAATGAAGTTTCTCGTTCAAACCCCATTTGGCCCACCAGTTTTCCAAAGTTTACAGATACTGCTTACTAACGAGTGTCAGCTAACGTGGAACCTTGGTTCAGGGTCTCTTGCTGACTCTCTTTAACCACTTCACAACAGTGCAAGCCTGTTCAAAGGATGAAATGTCTTCCTTTAATCATATAATTGAAATTCATTCTGGATATAACGGTAGTCACATGCCTCAGTACAGTTTTGATCAGAAATATAGGGAAGGCTCTAAATGCTCTACCATTAACATTCACGGTGGCTTACTAGTATTGATAAAATAAGACTACACGTGTATAGTTACCATGTTTATTGTGTCGGTCTTAAGGCTGATGGTTAGTGGCTATGAAATATGGTCTGTGAAAGCAACAGATATGTGTGGTCTGAAAGATTTTGATCACATGTGTTTTCGAAGCATTGCTTAGATATTGTACAACAACCGAGTTAGCGATTCTGAGGTCATACATAGAGTATCGGGCAAAGTTGGCTTATCAGTTGGTGAGATTGTGAATCTTCATCTACTAGGTAGGTCGAGACTTGTATTATGTATACTTAACGACTTACTGTCTCAAAACGAGCAATGTTAACTGACGAAGATGTAAGTTGGAAAAAAGCTAGGGCTAGTCAGACCGAAACATGCCGTCAGTCCACAAAATCATCGACTTTTGTTCTAAGCCATTTTGGTAGATGCGGGCTGCTTGGTTAAAGTCAGCGAAATAAATTTGACCAAGCGGTTGAAGAGTTTAAGTAAGATGGCTGAGAATCAGTCACAATGGTACAAATACATTTACTCTTTATTGTACTCAAGATTTTGAATTCTAGTTTTCCTTTATTCATAATTTTGTACTGTTCTTCCGTAACATATTCTCAATGTTTAGTCTTTCTCATTATTGATGCTTCTATATTATTTTGATTTTCTCAATATTCATCTATTCGTGTTGTGTTACAGCAACTTGGGCCAATCCACATACATATTAGGAACGAAGTTGATACTCACTAACTTGTTGAGAGTATTATCATCCTTAGTATGTATGTATGTATATGTTCTTTCTTTTTAGTGGCAATCGAAGAATTGCAGCAATTAATAGAAGCTAAAGAAATGGCTTATTCAAAAGTTAAAGGTACGTGAGAATCTAATTGAACAATGAATTTGACTTATTTTGTTCATTAATGATAAATAGCATCTGTCTTAAAAAGGTTCATAGGTCTAAAATATCTAGATGATTGAATTCGAATGAATTAATTAAATTTCTTTCAGACGCCGACCTGTTTACATTTCCTATGCATATATTTCTTTAAAAAAATTATGAAATTACGCAATAGTTCATATAATTGATTAAAACTCTATCATAAATGGTTCTCGGGAACTATTCATCGTATTAGCCTAATCTGTTTTAAGTAAATACAGTGAAAAAAAGAGAAAAAAAACCCTGTTATAGATGTTAACTCTCTAAATATAATTTATTAATGGAAATCAAACATTGATTGAATGTGATTTTGGTTCTATTTGATGTTTTCTATTATTTCTATGACATTTATTCTACATATTGATTTCTTTAATTAATAATCATTATGAGCAACACTGTAAGTGAATAAATCCATTTGATGAAATAAACTGTGTTTTAGAGATGCCGAAGTCAGAAGAAACAATTAGCTGTTATTATTTTATTTATTTATTTTAACACATAGATATTGGTACAAGGAGGCAACAAATACATATGCGCCACACAAATCTCATTCGATATGTGTAAGGGCTGTGATACTGCCCGGGTGCCCAAACCGAAGCAGGTGGTTTTCGTAGGGGGCCACACCCCGAGCCTTCGACCTGAAGGTCTGATCCACAAGGCAGTGGAGCATCGTAAAGAGATGCACTCCCGTGGAAGTCGGTAACCAACAATTGGTTCATACGTCATTTGTTCCCTCAGGATACTGGAGCCCATGTGCACCATTGGTTTAACTGTGGGAGATTCTTGGTATGAATGTTAGCTTATATGATATCAATCCCTATAAACACATTAGATAAAATTAGTTGTAGCATGTATGTGATGTTATTTGATCACAATGTTTGTAAATGAACATTAGATATATCTATAGCGACTTACGTGCAATTGAGTTTATTCTCATTTAATCCAGTTAAGCCCTTTTGTTAACTTATTTAGCGGACAAAGTCATCCCTACTATAACAACTTATTGTACCTTTATTATTGTTATGCTTGTATGAAATATGTATGCTCGAACATTGTTTACCACCTACGCATATATTCATTCTACTAGCTTTATTATTAGCTGCTTAATTGATTCGATGATCCATTCATTCCCCTATATATACATGTACATTTAACACTATACACACTCTCGGTTCGCTGACTCACTCACTCACTCGCCTCAATGCTTTGTGATCTGAATGATCTACTAATAAAACTGTAGTCGCTGTTTCTCTTTGCCTTCTGATTTCAAACGACGTTGAGGATTATATGGTAACGGTTACGAGGGTGATTGGTTAACGAAGCACAGCCACTACATATCCAATGTTTTTCCCGTGTGTTTTCTAAAATTATTTATTTATTGTCTTTGTTAAACATGAAGGACATCTGACCAACACGTACAAGCATTTGATCAGGATTTGGAATTTTCTAATGCTTGACATTTGTTCACTACAAATTTAACACTGACATATATACATTGACTTAAAATAATATGATTTAAAACGCATCAAACAATTGTCATATCCATTATATGATGAAAAAGATTCCTTACCACAGTTTTCTATTGTTTGGGTAATTTTATTATTGTATAAAAAATAATGTATGACCTTATTCAAGCTTTCTTTCTTCATTTAATAAAATGTTTAGGTGATCTAGATGAATTAGTACAACAATTCTGCTCAAAAGAAAATACTGCAGTCGGTCCAAATATGTCTTTAAATCAGTTACGGTCATTTCTAAATAAACTTGAAAATGTATGTTATTATCTGATCATAGTAGCGTTTTTTACTAAGGTTTTTCAAATCACATTTACCTTAGATTTGTAGTGTCGGTTATTATGTTAAGCCCATATGCTTTATTCTAGCTTTCGGACAGCCCGTTCTATTCATTCTACTTGAGTTACATTCTGACCTTGTTATTTGTTCGCTTATCGACCTTGACTGTTTTTATGAGGGCATATATGTGTGTACACATCTTATCCCATTACTCATCACATCTCTGTAACTTACTTTTGTGTAACTCATAAATATTGATTAACGCTTGGTTAAATGGGTGTTGGAATACCAGCCACCTCCACTCTGCATCGTTTCTCTTCTCTCTATTTCATTTTCTTTATATACAAAATATATATATTCACAAGTCCATCCTCGTTATTCTGTGGTGTGAGCTACTTATATTGATATGAGTAGTATATAACGTGCGTTAAAAGAACGTGATGTCTAGCAGCAGAAAATGGGGAAGATGAAGAAAGAAAGAGCGAGAACACAATGGAATTTGTAAGAAAACGCATGAACAATGAAATGGGAGACAATGGATTGGTGTTTGCAACAAAAACAGTCCAGTTTGGTTTGATGCATGAATATTTTTGCAAATTGACAATTTACTATATGGTATTCAGACTTTATTGAGATAGTCTGTAATTGTTGTGTTAAATACATTCGATTGTCCCCACCCGTTTTCTTGTTCACTACAATTCGACTTATTTAATTCCGTTATTGACTAACGCGATTTAAGTCGACGATTATATACAAGGATAGGCGATAACAAGCATTTATACGATCTAATTGTCATATCAGATCCTCGGGCCACTAAAGCGGAGAGCCCTTTCGTCAACATCGTTCGATCTAAATGACGATTAAATTACGGGTCTCCACAGATTAACATATTTTTTTCGTAACTAAACCTGAATAAAAACAGGACAACACTATTGATTTGAATCAAAATACTAAACTGCAAATTGTTGTTCATTTGTAATTTATTCGTATACTCAACACCATCGAGTTTAAAAGCACAGTTCTAAACGGAAATATTAAACTAATCAACGAAGTTACCCATTTGCTCTGTTTAGGGTGGTTGTGACTTGTGCTATGCATCCGGATAATATATATAAATATTTTAAAGTATTTAAACTCGATCGAGTAGAAGCAACACTGAATCTCTGTAGTCATTATATCCTGTAGTGTTAAATGCATTTTCTGAGCTTGATCCTTGGGATGACTAAAATTAGAGTATGGAAGACTAGATAAATTAGTTGAATTCGACCTAAACAATGCAGAAGTATTCAGTTTTCAGTTTCTTCTGAATCATTTATTGTTGTTAGTACTACTACCCGTTTTCCACGCTCCATCCTCATCTTATTTTCTATTTTTATTTCATTGTTTTTTCTCGGCATAACTTTCTTAGTTTGTTTATTTTACTACATGGAATCCGGATCATGTGTTCTGTCCTATTTGAGACTTGCTCGGTAGATTTACCTGCATTCCTGTGTTGATGTTTGCACTGAGACATGAACGTAGTACCTATGGTTTCAAATATCAATACTTCATTCTCAAAGACATTGGCGCAGATACACTAACTATTTATCTTCCTATAAATCTTAAATTCGGATATCACTTCAAACGTTTCTACTCTAACATTTTAAATCATGTTCTCAAGTTTAATCTTTCTTTTTATCATTGCTACAACAATATTTCGATTTCGTGTTATTTTCGTCTCATCGTGCTAATGCGGTATGGCCACTTAAGCCAATGCACAATAGTACTAGGCTCTATGTTAATGCCTATGTCGAAAATACCTAGTCCATACATAATCACTGACGTCATTTCTAGTTTCAGCGTGAATGTTAACATTTGATGCGAGTACAACCAACTGACGAGTCGAAAGTAGAGCAAAATGTGTTTACTTAATTCCTTGCTATCTGCAATCTAAAATATGACTAGTGTTATATCCTAGTGAATACTACATTACGAGTAACGTCTGAGACCTATTAATGGACTAGTATTATTTTTGTATTCTTATGGTATGAATATTCAGTAACTAGATTTTGTATATCTATATTCCTCTTGTCATAAGCTTCATTTATATTATTATTGTACGTTTTACTGTTCTTGAGCCATGTTCAGTTTATTGACTACTGCCTCCCACGTTCACAGCCACTTTTGACCATATTTTTTACGAGTGTTATTTCCTATTTTATACTGTGTTGCGGTCTGTTTGTTTGGTATATAAACTCAGTATGTGTGAAATAAATGATTCGCATAGTAGAGGCTGTTATCGGCATTCTTGACTGAGCTGGACGGGCTAGGCGAACAACGGACCAATAGGACGCTAGGCTGATCAGACCGGTCGAACGTCATTGGTTTAGTAAAGTACAAGAGCGAATAAGTTGTATTTTGACTGGCGAATAGATTACTTGACAACAAGCGGCTCATAAAGTCACAACAACTAATATCAGTTGTTACATATATTTCGTTTATAGCTTTAAACATTGAGTTGAATTTCTGTAATCGATCAATTTCTTTAATACCCAAATGTTGTGTTTATACTTTACTATATATGTTTTAGAAATGTCCATGGATTTGGGACTTATTCTATGGAAATTGCAATGAAATAACGTCTTCTGCATTGCCAAATCCTATTGAACAGGTAATCTGTGCTGGATATGGTTTTTATATACATGACATAAAATCATAAATCATTTGTAATCATCATTAATATCAGCTACTAAGTAATCATTATGTTTTCAGTCATTTATATACACATGAACAATGCTTTCGACAGAATATTAATCTTAACACAAAGAGCTGTGTTAAGTTTGTCTTACACTGTTCTTACTGTCTTCCTTACCACTTTTGTATATTGTTTTATACTACTTATTTACACTCAGTAAGCAGTTGTATTCCCAGCAATTTTTTAACTTATGTTGTAACGCAAGTTGTAGTGTGATATTCTGAAATGTTCACATATACTTATGAAGTTTACTGTATTTTTCATTATAATCACTGTACCTTAATCACTGTAGCGGTTATCCATAGTTTTGTACATTTGTTTAAACGCAACAGTTTCCTTATTGTTTTGCTCATGGTTCGGGTTTCGGTTGTTCATAAACTGTTAGCAAATTTAGACACAGCTATCAGCAGTCCTTTGCACTATCGAAGCCTTTTTAATTCATACTTGAAGGACGCGTTTAAACGCCCCAGACACGTCACAAGTTGAAAAATGTTAGATCGATCGAAGAGTCCAAGTCACCAGATTGAGATACGCGCAAATCGTTGTTTTGCGAACTCCGGTTTTGCGCGTATCTCAATCGGGCGACTTGGATGCTTCGATAGATCTGGCAAGCTCAATAGAATAATAGTTGACCCTGTTTTTGAAGAATCTTAGGATGTGGAGATAGTAGTGAAATATAAAACAAGAACAACGATTGGTTTGGTCATTTCTATTAAATATTTATCAAACAATAGTTTTATAGTATACGGATTTGGAATAAGTCAGCTTCGTCTAGGACACTTTTGTACAATGTTGCATATTTTCTATCAAAGTGTTTAATAACACAACTGAGACACGCGTGAAATCGAGGTTCAAAATAATGATTTGTCTAAAGAATGATATGTGCAGAAATTCACAATAATAAACACAGTAAATGCCGTTAGCTTGTGCAAATACTTCAGAATATTATATAGTAAGTGACGTACTTTTCACTAGTAGGGGCGACCAAAACAAAACGTGACATCAGTGCATAGAGTCGCTAGCTTCTGGCCTGAGCCATGTTGGTGGCTTCAGGCCACTTGATTAGGGAGACATGCGACTATCGCAACCAATGGTTGGATATTCTGGGTAACATGGCTCAGAATCAATCACAATGGCGTATGTGTATACACTCTTTGTCTTCCCTTAAACTGTGAGATTAAAACTACCTTATACCTTTCTTTCTACGAACTAATTCTTTCTCCCTGTATTACATCGTTATATGCAGTCTTTTTTATATATTACTACTATTAAATTGACTACTTCTATGACTTCGGTGTGTCATGTTGTTGTGCTAATGAGGTGTGGTAAGTTGGACCGATGTATATATGTGCCTGTTCTCACGTTGTAGATGACTGACGTTTAGAAATGATCGAAAATGCCACTGTTTACTGAATGATTGCAAGTAGTATAAACCAATACACGAAAATGAGATAAATTAGGAGAGGAAGACAGTGTATGCCACCACTTATGATCCTGCATTTTGTTAACGACTTACTAGTTTTGCATCCAGACCTTGTTTACTTACCTATTTAACATATTTTTCTCACAACCTAGTTCTTGTAGTGTCAGTTTTCGTTTGGTTTGTTCTTTATTTTTTCTTGTAGAAAAAGTCACTAAACAAAATTATTTTAGAAAGAAACGAGCTTGAAGATCAGTGGCATCAAACAAAACAAGAGCTACTCTCACTTAGGAACTCACATGTTGAATTGACTAATCAGTTAAAAGCTAAAAATGATGAGCTGAATGAGGTAAGTTTGTTAATGCTCATTACTTTATTGAAAGACTATAATGTAATCTCTCTAGGCATATATAACTACGAAAAGTGATCAAATACTCGTTGATTTTGTCAGTGTTATAGTCTCAGACTTTGGAGCTGATTTGCCGGCGTTCACACCCACAGTAAGCATCAATCCCTATGATGGTACACTCTTCTGATGACGAGTGTCAACTGGTATGAAACCTATGTAAAGAGTTTCCCACCAACAAATTCCGACCTCTGGACATTTCAACATAATGCATACGACTTCAGATCATTCACACTAGTCTCTACATTGCAATTTGATAGACAAAATTCCGTTAACACCAAATTACTAGGGAAACATGATATTTGTCACTACTCATTAATCAGTGTCAAAGGCCAACTGTTTTTGTTACGCTACGTCATCGATTAAATAAGGTCATGGAGTTTTTAACAAATTATAACTAATCTTTGGTAACACTAAATATAATCAATGTAGTTTCATTCTAACAAGACTTTAAATAACGTTAAATGGTTGGAAGCAGTCTACTGAAAAGGCGATTGATCTTAAACCTAATGATTGGCATCTGTCAGTGAGGCGTATCTGTAATCTTACGGAGGCTTACTATCTCACTGATCCCAATCCGCATCATCTGCGTCTCTATGATACATTTTACCTTTGAGTTATATGGTCTAACTGTTATCTCCGATATGAATAATTTATCATTTCATTCTAACGTCGAGTAATAACCATTGTCATGTCTTCCAGTCACTATTGAATTTCATCTATCATGTTTTCTATGTGTTCAATCTAGGCCTAAGTGACGACATCGTACCACTTTTTTGTCGTTTGTGGTTATCTGAAGAAGTCAGTATGAGAATTGAACTAAACTACTGTGCTAACCTGGACCAGTAAGATGCATTTACACACTGAAAGTATGGATTGAAGTCGAATGCGCTGTTCTTTGCTTTGTGGTTGAAATTATTGGGCATGTTTCGTGTTAGTCGGCACTCACCAGCATGGTATATTTGTGATCATAAGAGAACTGATGCTCCCTGTGGGACTGCAGCTTAACCGATAGAGCTTGATCAGCTCTAAAGATCTAGACAAAAATGACAATGGTCATTACCCAGTGATCAATCAGTTGTAAACCCTATCCTCTGCTTGATAAATGAGCTACGTATCCATGAGATAGTATAGAAGTATTAATGTACTGTGTATGCCAACGGTATTACATCATATAATTTGCTATAAGTCAAGCTTTTGAAAAACTATAGATAACTGTCAATGAGATAGTGGAGAAGATTTGTAGCTCAGGTGGGCACCATCAGCACGAACTGAAGTTTGTGCTGATGATGTTTAGAATAGCGATGAAAACTCCGACCAAAACACTCAACTCAGCGAACAAAACTACCGAAATAACTGTCAATGTTTGGTTTAGAGAAATTAAATCCATACAATCGTATTAATGTCTATCGCCTAAACATCATTCTGTTCCAACATTTAAAAGGTTTACCTCCTTATTACTTGTTTATCGAATATAGATTTGGCGTCGAGTCATTCTTTAAATTCTCCAAATCAAATTAACTAGAGTAGATCTGGAACCGACAGTCTGAAAGTGAACGTTGAACACTTTAACCACTGAATCACCGTTCCACAAAATTAGATATACTTCTCAATTAATTTATTTTCTAATTCGTATTTATACATTGTTTCTATCAATAATAGTTTATATGATTTTGAAATAAATTAGATGTTTGAAAAATCGTCAAAACTACAACAACGCGTATCTCACTATCGTGAATTAGTGAATAAACTATGTGATCCGAGAATGGCTGTTGCTTTTGCAGATAATGTTCGTCAAAATTTGTCTTCCAATAAAACTGATGTTCATTGTAGCAGTTCATCTACTATTCAATCAACTCCTTTGACTAATTCATCAAGCTCAATGAATTTTAATAATATAACTCCTTGTGTACAATCAGATCAAGAAAGTTAGTATTAATTAAACTAGCTGTTTCTTTTAAATGTATTTTTTCATAAACTTAAATGAATTATGAGATTATTAGTTATTGTAGTGTTAAATAATAATAATATTATTGATAAAATTAAATATTAAGTATGTAATGTAGAAAAATTGAGTGAAAATTATTTGCACTGAAGATCTCGAGGAAGTTAAATGCATCTGTACCATTGTGACCGTTTCTCAGCCATCTTACTTAAATTCTTCAACCACTTGGTCAAATTTATTTCGCTGACTTTAACCAGGCAGTTCGCATCTACCAAAATGGCTTAGAACAAAAGTCGATGATTTCATGGAGTGACGGCATGTTTTGGTCTGACTAGCCCTAACTTTTTTCCAACTTACATCTTCGTCAGTTAACATTTCTCGTTTTGAGACAGTAAGTCGTTAAGCATACATAATACAAGTCTCGACCCACCTAGTAGATGAAGATTCACAATCTGATCAATCCAAACAGTTTTTCACATAACTGTCACAATTATTCCAACATAAGGGGATTACACAATTCTTAATACTGTTCAACATGAGAGTATCTTGAAGCAAATTTTACTAGTTGGCGGTTTACGACATATTATCAGTACATGAAACGATGGAGCGTTGAGTTGACCTGGGTAAACAAGCACAGACTTCTCTGTTGGAGACGATTGGTGACATGATCGGAAATCAACGTCGTTAGTATTCTTTCTTTGTCTTCCTCCAAATCCTGAGGTCTGCATCATAGTTTGCTTTCACTCATTGGGTTCTGCTAATGTGGGAACATCAACTGACGCACATTACCACCAAATCTCATGTTGACTGATTGACTGATACTTTTGATCAAAAGTTATAAGTTGTATCATATACTTTTCATACTTTATTATGGGCGTTTAGTAATTTGCTTGTTAAAGTGAATCAATAGAACGCTTGTCGATGGATAAACTCTATGATATGATATAGCCTAATGATAAATACTTGTGAGGACTGCAGTTATTGACTCCACCACTTGGATGGGTAGAAAACAAAAACAAGACCACTAGCTAGATGAATAGGTCTCTCATGCAACAAAATATTTTGTTTATATACAAAATCTGAGCACAAAATACACATGGTAAAATTTCTTAAGCGATTAAAGGAAGTCAGCTTGTAGGTCACTCATTCTTCAATCAGTTGACCTGACTGTTAGGCTGTCATGTTGCATCGTATCATATATCCCCATATAATTAAGGTAGCATAACTGTAACGGAGAGGCGTTACATTTGTGACTGAGAACTCTGAAGGATCTACAATAACAAGTACCGAAATCTCTACCTAGAATAGTAGAAAGAGTGTATAATTCGTTCAACTTATGGTCATTGGTTGTAACGTAAATTATTCAATTTATGTCCTTGTGCTAAGGGTAAGACTTCACAGTTGCACCATCGCTTTATCAATCGTTAAGTCTGAATTTTTGTAGGTCACCAAATAAAATGAAGAATTCAAAATGATCTATCGTAATTCACCACTCGTTGTATAGCCCAAAAGTTATCTTGTTTTTAGCTGGAAATATACACGGTGTACTCAGGTAGATCAACGTCAGGGTGCTAATTTGTCGGAGTGTTAGAAATACTGTTTACTTGTCTTTAGATAAATTCTAAAGGTCGTACCACAGTTTCCGACTTTTGCGTGATCAAGTCGTTCAGTTTAATGCTAATCGTTTAGAAGAAATCACATTCTTTTCTATCAAAGTTTCCTCGTAAGTGTATCATTTCTTATATTTATTACTATTATCACGTAATTTCCTCTAATGTAGCAGAAATCAATTCTTGAAGTAAATTTATCTGAAACAATAAACAATCGATGGTTACATTTTTACACATCTCTTCACATTTCTTTTTTTTATTACGCTCATGTTCAATATTGTTTTATTCTTAGACTCATTAGCTACAGTTAGTACACTTGTAACAAACAAATCGTCTTCGCCGTCTTCTCGTAAATCTTCCGAAACCTCATCTACATCAATCTTCTCTCGCGTCGGTGCTGCAGTTACGGCGATTGCTAATGTTATAACTTCGCCTAAACGTCCTCAACAGTCTCCTGAATATTCATCTGATAATAAACGCAGTCGTCCCTCTGTATCTGTTACAGAACCTACAGGTTTAGCGAAATCTGAAGAAAAACCTGTTCTCTATGTAAGTGTCATTGGCTTTTGTATATTGCACATACTTTCTTAGTCAATCTATTCTCAAACCTGAAACATTTTTTGTTAGTTCAGGGAATATTTGGACGACACTGTTGCAGAAACTGCACAGTGTGAAGAGAAGCAGTTGATATTTGACTTGTATGTATACAGTACATTGATAACACTGACTAATGTCATGTTTGTCTAATTCTTTAGTCCTCGTTAAATTCTATCTGTATAGCTGCTATGTGCCCACTGGTCTGAATGACTCAACATTTCGTGCACTATGTTCAAGTATTTAGTGGTTGAAGCTAGTTAGCGAAAAACCCAGGATGTTGATTTCGTACTAGTTGGCAAGGGGTTTCTGCAATCGTGAGGGAACTGATAACCTCCTGGGGACTCCAACCTAGGTCACCCAGCTTTACTGTCTGAGATGTTATCAAGTAGTCAGGACAGTCTTTTGACTTTTAGACAGTTTAGATTGCTTAATTCAAATTAATTATTTTAAAAAACCGCTATATATTTATTATTTCAATAAAGACAATCAGCACGTTCTAACTTTTTTCGAACATTTCGTGCTCTGCTGTTCGTTGTATAAGTACATATTTACAGAAAAACCCTAGTAGAGTAATTAAGATTTGCGGATTTGATTACTGTCTAGTTCAGGTGCGATTATCAATTTTTACTCATTGTTAAAAACTATACATGTGTGTTAAGTTCGTTTTTTTAATAATTAATGTAACGTTTTCTGTTTCTCATTGTTCGATTCGATTATGGTCTCTGTCATATAACGGTTTCAGGATGCCGTTCCGAATAAAATTTCGCATCCCATTTTATCAACGAAGTCGAGTAATTTTGTCATTCCTGAAAAACCAATCTTACCATCATCATCATCGTCTTCATCATCAACAGCCATTCTTGACAACGGCCCTATGAGACATCATAGTTCAACACGTAAACCACTTACGGAATTGCCTAGATCAAAAGTTAAATCGCCTACCACCCACAAATCGGATCATTTTCTTTCACCATTTTCATCTACTCCGCTTTCAAAAAAGGAATATGTCGAAAATTGTTCAAAACCGATTACCGATTTTCATGATTTTCATTCGGAAAAATTAAATCCTGTAAGTGATTCGATGTGTATACTACTTTTATGTTATATGATTCATTTAGAATATGACAATAATTATTTTCAATTAGATTTTCATAATTAGGCTTTACTTTTATACCAGTCAGTCAGTCACTTACTGATGTAGGAAGTAACACGAGTGTGTATCGGTTAAAGTTATTACAGATCACAGCACCACGGCGGCATAAATCAACAAAATAAAATACCGAAAACAATAAGAATCTACATATAAGAAACACAATACAGAAAGATAAGGAGTCAGCAATACTATCGCAGTTGCATTATTGTGACCGATTTACCACTATATCACATATACCAACCCATCTGCATCTGATCAACAAGCGATAACTTCATCATAAGTTTGTTTGCATTCACTGTCTTCCTCTCCTTATTTATCTCATTTTCGTGTATTGGTTTATACTACTTGCAATCATTCAGTAAACAGTGGCATTTTCGATCATTTCTAAACGTCAGTCGTCTACAACGTGAGAACAGGCACATATATGCATCGGTCCAACTTACCACACCTCATTAGCACAACAACATGACACACCGAAGTCATAGAAGTAGTCAATTTAATAGTAGTAATACATAAAAAAGACTGCATATAACGATGTAATACAGGGAGACAGAATTAGTTCGCAGAAAGAAAGGTATAAGGTAGTTTTAATCTCACAGTTTAAGGGAAGACAAAGAGTGTATACACATACGCCATTGTGATTGATTCTGAGCCATGTTACCCAGAATATCCAACCATTGGTTGCGATAGTCGCATGTCTCCCTAATCAAGTGGCCTGAAGCCACCAACATGGCTCAGGCCAGAAGCTAGCGACTCTATGCACTGATGTCACGTTTTGTTTTGGTCGCCCCTACTAGTGAAAAGTACGTCACTTACTATATAATATTCTGAAGTATTTACACAAGCTAACGGCATTTACTGTGTTTATTATTGTGATTACATTCTCTCAACCTCTGTAACAGTTATTCCCAGTTTTTGTGCATTCTTCGTTTGAGCGCAACGACTTCCATTTTGTGTGCCCTTAGTCCCATTTTGACTGTCGATTGTCATTACTGACTGTAGACACAGCCACCATTTATCATTTACTCTATCTTATGTTGTGACTAATCTTTATGTTATTACTACAGGAAGTCTTTCCATCTTTATACACACAGATGTGTCAATCGTTACGGGTACCTCTGTAGTTGAGGTTTGTAACCAATTTATTTGTATATTGTTACAATGGAGTCGTCCTTTTTGATGGTTTTGTTCTCTAAGCTGGATGGTTTGGTCGTGGAGCTTTTATCTTTCTTTTGAACGAAATCATCAGCACAAATTTCATGTAGAAAGGAAATGTTCGTCATTCTGCACATATCATTCTTTAGACGAATCATTATTTTGAACCTCGATTTCACGCGTGTCTCAGTTGTGTTATTAAACACTTTGATAGACAATATGCAACATTGTACAAAGGTGTCATAGACGGCAGATTAAATGGTATACGTGACACAACCCTCTTCAACGAGGCGGACTGTTAAAGCTATTTATTTTTTATGTTATTTGAATTAAATTCCCAATTCTTACGGTCAAGCGTCTCATAATTGAATATACACACTTCTAAAGAACGGGGATTTTTCGTGTATTATATATATATATATATATATTCTAGCTTTTGGATTGACGAGTCATCATAGTGTATATTTCCATTCGCCTGTAGTTACTACCGTTGTACAGTGGGTCTAGTCTAAGTTTCGTACGCAAAATTAAAAGAGATATTATCGTTCATTCATTATGGTCTTCAATATTACACTCACTTAGTAGTGCTATAAATAAGCTATTAATGCAGGAAGTGTTATTTCTGTCGGAGGGGTAATATGTAGGGATTTAATAATTCGAAGGTATATTTCATCATTAAGTGACATCATGTGCGGAATAATAAACTCTTGTACTAATTTGCGAGGTTTCATCAGTGAATGTTATTCAACCTGAGATTTAATATTGAACCATATAACCTCGGAATCGAATGTCGAGTAGCATTCATCTCAGTTATTAAACGAATAATAGTTCTCTGATGAGCAATCAAATGTTTAATACACAGAAAAATGTTTTGAAAAATACAAATGTAAGCGAAATGCTGCATGTACCACTATGAATTATTTGCAAAGGATAATATCTAAACAATATAAAACATGCTGATCTGTTTTCATATTGTGTTAACTCACTTTCTCTTAATAATATATTCCCAGGATTTTAGCTTTTTGAAACATGGACCATTAGCAGAAAGTACATCTCAATTACCACAGGATGTACTCCGTTCTGTTCATGCTAATATTGGTAAAGATCATCAAGATGCTAATCGTCGACCATCTGAATTCATTGATCGTCCTACTATTTCTCAACCACAAAATAAGAAAGATGAAATTTTTCTTACTCCTGCAGCGCCTAAACCTCTCAATCCATCTTGGCAAATTTCTAAGCAAGAACCTTCAAAACAGGTAAATATTATTATTACTGGCCTACATTTCTAACATGTTTTATATGATAACTTCAAAATGTTCATTATACCGTTGTATCTTAAAATGTCATTTCTTTTGAAAACTGTCTTTTGTTTTAAAAAATTAAAGTTTTTAATCTTATCATCACAAATGGTTATTGTCATGCGGTCTCCAGTCAAAAGGTTTACACCTGTAATTAGAATTAGCTGCCAATAATATGCAACTTATATCCCAATGGTTTGAGTCGATTTACGTTTTATAGCTTCGTTATTTTCAGCTAAAACTGTACTTCTAATCTCAATATTATTTACCTGATCGTTTTGTCCTAAGTAAGCATTACCATCGTAACTAATGGTTAGACTGTGATTGACATGACTCAAAATCGTTCACAATAACCCAGACGCATCCACTATTTGTCTTCCTAAATTCCTCATACTCTTTTTGATTATTTCACTAATTTGTGTTTTCTTCAATTATATCTTGGATGCCCAATCTTTTATGTTTCTATTAATACTGTTACTACCCCTAGTACTCTGGGATTCTCCCAATTTCAACTCGTTGTGCTAATGGGGATATGGCAACCTAAACCGATGCACGTATGTACCAAGTTCTGCGTTGTGTTTGTTTGACTGAAGCTTTGGTTTGAAGATACTAGTGAACAAATATTTCTGAGCTCCTTGTTTTATTCTTTCATGGGTCATTGCAGGTTGAACTGTTACACAGTAACTCGCTTATCCATAAATATAATAAAATTGTAACAACTTATCGATGCCATCTAACGATCACAAGTCATTAATCATTTAGGACTGTTTAAGCGATCAGTTCACCCCCCTTTGTTAGACCAAGCATTAAGACGGATCAGTCTCAAAGCGACATATTCCATCGACTGTCAACAAGAAAGAATTTTACGCCAATAAAGTTTCTGTCGTTACATCATCGTCTTCTTAATTTTGCAATTATAAACATCACTGTTTTTACGGTTTTTAATTTTAATTCACTATAACTCTAGAAACCATCTCTAGAAGTACATAACAATATGAACTCAAACGAACTGAATAAAATCTCATCATGCAGTGATCAGAAAAAACGGGATAACATTTACACTAACACCAACTCTATCAGTCAGAAGATTCAGAAAAATTCATCAACAGCATCAGCTCCTACATCACTGCATAGAAAAACTTCAAACACTATTACACCACCTCAAGAGTGTAATCCATCCTAAAATGATTTCTTTTGAAGATTTCGTTTTTTTTGATTGTTGTAAATAAATTTCTTATTGTAATTCTACTTATGCATTGTGTATTTTTAGTTTTAAAATATTGTTATTAATTTCATTGAATTGTTAGAGTTGAAACCATGAGTCGATTTTTTTTTCTCATTAGTGGTCTATCTTAGATTGATTCGTGATTTCAACTGTGAAAATACTACAAATCCTCATACTGGTAATTTCATTGAAATCACGAACTGATCAAAGTTAAACAATTATTGGAAAATTTAAAGCACTGAACGTGCTTTACGTCCTAGTATGGGGCTTTTCAACAGCACACGTAACATATCGATGTATATGTGCTGCAATATTTGTTTTAGTTTCACGATGATATACATCATAAATTGATTTTGACTAGGTAATTGCTGTAAATTAAGAAGTCTATATGGTGATGTTCATTTATAACCGTATCAAGGGAATTAACACAAAGCTATGAAATTCTGTTGTGAGTGCATTTTTTTTCAGCACATTGAGTTACCAAACTCAGTGCTCCCAACTTCAATCAATTCGATGAACCGAATTGCCGAACGAAATGTCCTATTTGTTTTTGAAGTTCAAATCTCTTAGATTTTTTCGGTCATTCATTTAAATCACCATCTGACTACTGTGAAATTTATTCATTCAAATAGAAACTGAAAGTTTTTAGAATACATATTACTTTTATTCAAGAAATTACGTCATAGAATTTTTGCAATCACCGTTCATTTTATACATATTCATAAAAAATTTCAAAATTTAAACAAAAGAAATAGTACTACTATTACTTATGATTGAAAAATAGTATTGGATAATTTAATTGGTTCAATTGATATGTTAGCTTGTTTCACATCTTCTCGACAGTCAACACCAAATGTAGATCTATGAGAATGAAAAATATAGTATATATATATATTATATATATATATATATATATATATATATATATATATATAAAACAATGATATTACTACTTTGATCATTTGTATTGTAACATTGAGTTTTAAAATCTGAATAGTAATAAGTTGATGCAAGAGTATCCTGTCACAATATTGGCATGGGCTATCAATCATTCTTGGGTACATAAACATTAACTGTATTGTTAGTGGGACAGGAATTTATGAGCTAAGTAATTAAGGCCAATATTTTTTTCTACATGGGCATTGAGAAAACAGATCAACTTTCCCTATTCATGTACGATAGTTAGAATTGTTTGTAAGTTCATGTATAAAGGTTTATTTTAAATAAGTTTAACACTAGGGATAAATTTTGGAAATTATGTGAATATGAACTACACGAATAATTTACTAATATAATATCATGGATGTTGAGATGATTTTGGTGGAGTTTTGTTCTCTGAGCTGGATGGTTTGGTCGTGGAGCTTTCATCGTTCTTCTGAACGACATCATCAGCACAAAATTTAGATAGTAGTGAAGTGTTCGAATTTCTCCTTATGTGTTTCACAGCTTGTTCTGTGCACCTCGATGTTGATTGGTTCTTATTGACAACCATCCAGCTCAGAGAACAAAACTCCACTATAATATCATAGATGTATTTGAATTAATGCTTGTTTATGATGGAACTACTCAAAGTAACGATGATGAATAAGTCTAATGAGTTTACGAATATTCACTCACTAAGAAATATATTACAAATGCTTTCAACACAAACACTATGTAATAGAGAATCGAATTGGAAAAGTCGAACCAAGTTGTGACATGAATAATTCATTTAAATCCCTAGTTGTTAAGCGTTAATTTGAAGTTTCTACAACAACACTTCGAGACCTTAGATGGCATGAATAAAAATAGATAACAGTGACTCATATATATTCGTTAACTTTTTCTACATTGTGAGTCATAACACTTTCATGTTTACCGTTTGTATTGTTCGATTTATGTCGTTGACTGTAATTCATACAACTCTTGCTTCTCATCATTGTGATTCTCCATGGATGCATAAATGCGAATTATGTAAGGTTGGGTGGGGGGACATATATATCTATGAGTTATTTAAGACATTTACACTTGACTGATTACTATGTCAGAAACAGTTATCGCACACATATACTGATTACGAATAACACATGGGTTCGATTTATCACTTTGAGAAGAAACAAATACGACTTTCATCGACAGATCAGTATAATTTGTTTCGAGTGCCTATCATCATCACGTACACCAAATCCTCGTAGTTGTTCAAGTGAATTATATTATAACACATGCAACCGTTCACCATTTTTAACGTATAATACTGTCAAAATTCGTTGATAGTTGTCTTATTTTGGCCTTTGTAAAAAAAGAGTGAAATATCTTTGAAATTCATGTTTTCCACTGAAAATATTATTTTCATTTATAAAATTACAAATAATTTACATGAAAATCTACAAAATAAAAACGAATCAACTTAACCTTGGACAAAAATCAACAGAAGAGATATCTTCTGTAATACGAGAAGAATTTTCTTTTTGAAGTAAAACTCCATTCCTTATTAGTAATGAAAGAGGGCAATACACAATTAATTAAGACCAGTAATCAAATAGTGTATTTAGCAGAATAGATATTTAAGTGGAAAGAAATCATTAGTTGCCATGTGATATTTTACTTTTATTATTAATCAACGACTTGCTATTTGGATAAATCAACATAATGCAAACAATTGACTTGTGCTAGTGGTTCTATCTTCAGCAAGTCATTTAAATGGTGTTTTAGGGATGATTTTATGGGGATATGATTAGTTCAATTAAAACAGGTTTTCTATCAATATATTGTGATGCATTGTACTAAATGATACCCGTTACCCTTGGGTTTTTTATTTATAAATCTCTCATCTTTTACTGATGACTGATCTGTTAAGAGGAACAGTAGTGAATATCTATCGGTTATTTTATGATCAAATAACGAAAGGGAAAGACACTGTCATTAGAGAGGAATAAAGACTACTCAATGAAGATAATTTTCTTTTCAGGGATTTCATTTGCTAAACTTGTTCAATCGAACTTATATTTACTTTGCTTACCAAAACTAGTAGTCCATAGTAAAATGGTGTTAGAAATTAGTGACATGCATCAGATATTGAGAGGAAATTGTGTTAATCCAACTGCTAACAGAAAAATGTTGAGATGAAGATAATTGTCCATTTGATGAGTATCACGAAAAGAACAAGTAGATGTAGCAGTAATGGTTTATTAATAGTTGATAAAAATAACTATAAAGGAGTAGAAGAAAGCGACAGATTATAGGAGATAGAAAGTAAAGTTGCGTCCATGATAGAACGATGGACTGGACAGTTTTTTAAATCAAGGGTTGGCTTGAATTGGTAAACAGCTATAGCCTCTACTGTATACAAGTTTTCATTTGTATCCCTTTCGAAATATTTCTTCTGACTGCATAATTTTGGAGGACTTGGATTCTTTTCCCTAGCCTAATTCAATGATACTATGAAAGTTAAGAACAGATTCCATGAAGCTCGGAAAGCAACAATGCACTAGTTCCCTGGTTGAATGGGTTACATATACTTTTTTTAAATACAATTGAGTAGCAAGTTAAGACCACTTTCTACAGATTATCCCGATGAAAAATGACAATGCCAACACAAATATGTAACTTTGCACCTACCAGTTTGATGCTGTTTAGTTCTTTGTGATGAACGATTAGGTACCAATGTCGTTCACAAAAAAGGCTAATTAACTAGACAATGTGATACACCTTGCTTAAATAATGGTTGGAAACAAGTACCAAGACACCTTGAATATAAGTATTATCCTGGTTTGTAATCATCAGAACAGCATATCAATGATTTGTAAAAACTGGTGCTTTCGTAGAACTCAACTTCACGTCATCACTATCCCAGTTAAGACCCTTATCGTTAGTTTACGCTGATGATTACTTAGAGGCCGATTAGTAGACATCTCAGTCACACCCCAAATATCTAAGTGGGAACATCTCAAACTACGGCATTAGGGTGGATAAGTTAGAATTATTTCTCCACAGATTGCAGGTGAACTTCGCTAGAGAGTGCAAACATGAAACACATTCAGGACATTTTTCCAATTGCGTTAAACCGCCATCTGGTCATGAAGGAATCAATTTGACATGTTTAATTACTATTTACAACTTACATAATGATAAGATAGTATAAATCTATTAAGTAGCCTTGAAGAAAGAAACTTTTTAAATACTTAACGTTTATAGCCATAAACTTTTGACTTACCAGGCTATCATAATTCCATTATCAGTACATAGACTTGATGGAGGAGCCACAAATCTCAAATTATAATGATTAGCTACCTCAGTTAAACCGGCACGAATAACACAATTAGAACCAACCCCACCAGAAACAACCTAAACAAAATTATTAATTGGATTCGAATATTAGAAAAAAACATGTGCACAATAAAATATCAAGACAAATTTAATCACCAATAAAGACTATTCGTTTTCACTACATCAGCATATTAAAGTAAAATTAACATGATGTACTATAAACATGATAAAAGGATTGTAAAGTTTGTTTCTTGATCACGACCCTATAGAGCAGTTAAAGAATATATATATCTTCCTCTGATAAATCAGCAACTGGACAAACTAAGCTATTCATGCTTCCGTTGCTTTAAATCCAAAAACAACGCGTGTAGTAGTTGATGCCATTCGAAACACTAATGTTATCAGATGAATTCGTAGAAGAAACCCTTTAAAACCCAGTCCTAAAAGAAGTTAAAAAGTTCCACCTAGAAGGCAGGTCATCAAAGATTAGCTCCACAGAGCTACAGCTGCTTTTCCAGCGCAAACTATTTCCCTCAATCATTGATGACTGCCTTCCATTTGCCAAACGTGTCATAATTCCAAAGAAGCTGCAACCAGCAGTTGAACAGCTGCACGCAGAACATTGGAAAAAATTGGATGAACGCGCTAGCACGAAGGTATGTATACTGGTCACATTTAGACACCCAACTAGAGCACCTATTCCGTTCGTGTACCAAATGCGCATTAGCAACGAAAGCATTGTGGAAAACAGAGTTGTAATGCCGAAAATCAGTTCCGTACCATTGATCTAGTTAAAAAACAATTTATATGAGGAAGATCACCATCGAATTACGTTTGCCCACCTAACCAACATAAGACTCAAACAAAAGTTAATTCCTTAAATCATATACATAAAATTACTAAGTAACTGGTTGGATCATGGTGCATAATTTTTTTGAAATGAATTAAAAGAACCATAACTGTTATGGCCCCGTCGCCAGTCGTTAAGACCTTGAATCGCTTTTAACCCGTCGATACTTTATGACTTGATCTGTCTAGTCTAGATTATGACCTTGGCGCAATAGACTGTGCGGCTTAACCTTGAGGCTAATACGCGTGAGTTCGAGATGGGGTAGAGAGAGAACTATCCTAGAACCTGATTGGTTGGCAAGCACACAAATGAGAGAAGACAAGACAGTTGGAACATTCTGAATTCGGATTAGTGCAAAAATGTACATGAATAAATAAGTGAATATCCTGACCACAACGTACGATAATTTGGAAAAATACAATTATGCCCGAAACTGGGAATCACGGTAGAAAAGATGTAAAATATTATGCTTAAATTACAATATTTTCGGAACAAAAAAGGGTATGACAGTGAATGTTACATAGAACGAAAGCTCATGTTATGTAGAATAAAATAGGGACAAAAATAAATATAGGTGTTTTACAAGGTTTGAATAAAATGAAATAACGTCCTAAGAAAATAGCTTTCGTAGTTGTCTGGGCATCTTATTTCCCTGTTCGCAACAATAACATTCCAACAATTAAGTGAAACCTAAAATTTTCAGACCGAAAAACTTGTTATTCACTAATACTAAAAAAAAACGGTGATGACTGTTATATCCGGATAAGTGAATAGTAACGGCTAGAATCTATTTATGGACTGTTATTATATATATTCTTATTGTATAACTACTACTAAGTAACTATATTATATGTATATTCATATTCATTTTATTATAAGCTTTTATTTGACTACTATTATATAATTTACTATTCCTAAGATATTCCCAACTTATTAGTTACAGTATCTCACAATCACAGCTAGTTTTTTGCTTGGTCTTTTATAATTGTTATTTTTTACTTATGGTGTGATGTGGTTTGTTTGGCTTATATATAAAACCAGTAAGTCTGAAATGTATGATTCGTCTAGCGAAGGCTGATAATGACATTCTGACCTGAACCGACTGGGTTAGGACAGAAGCAACCATCACATAGGATCAATAGGAACTCTAGGCTCGTCGCACTAGTTTATGCGTCATTAGTCTGGTTGTATAAGTCGGTGGTACTGATTGGCGGCCGTACTGCGTTATGTAAATTAATCGGGCATAAGGAAATAATGATGACAATGAAACAAAGACAATTAATGATATAATGAAACACGTCTTACTAAAGCAGTAGGATGATTTCTGATTACAGTGGCTCTGGAATCAGTGTTCAACAAACAGTATTCAATAGCACGCTGAACACGCCGACAGATTAATCTTGTCATACAGAACTGTAAAGATGCACAAACATCAGCAATATCTTGGTCCGATAAATTGCATCCATTACCTAGAATTTTCATTACCGAAAAAAAACCCAATACAGTAAAAATGTCACCATGATGATGGAAAAGAAACAATAATAGTAAGGAGAAAATATTCTCTGGTAACAGGTTTGCATCCTTATTTTAAATGAGTACCAACCTAACAGTTGTTTTATAGCATTTTTAAAGAGAATTAATTGTAGATTTTGTTCAACTATCTCCTTAACCGATCACATTCGAATCCAGTAACTATGAATATGTTACTCAGTTTTAAATCAAGAAGATTCCAGTTTTGTTTCATGAGGTTTATTATTTGCGGCCTTGTGTTGTGCATACTCAATTACCATGTACCAGATTTGAGACTTCAAGCTTCGTTCTCAGTAGCTAGTAACCCTAGCCAGTTGTCCAAACCAAAGTAGATAGGGTGGGGTCCGAATCTAGTCTAGTAGCAGAAAGCTAGCTAACGCTTCACGTATTTTACATAATATGATCACTTGAGTTATGCGTGTCTAGATGAATACTTCAATCAATCCTACACAAACCAAAGGACGAAACGACTACAGAAGGAAAACTTAACACCAACCATAAAATCAGCTGTTACAATAGGAAAAACACTATATCGGAAAACGTGGATGCCCTCTTAATCTTTCCCTGTTTGAATGTCAGTTGGTGGTCAAACGCCACGATATATCCTCGCTTACATCAATGCATGTTTATTTATTCACTTAAACATAAAAACATTGGTACAAAGAGGCATCAAATATATATGCTTCACATAAATCGAATGATTTATGTGAGGGTTGAGATACTGCATGGGTGCCCGAACCGAAGCAAGTCAGTCAGTCAGCTACAACGTAGGACCAGGCACATATGTGCATCGGTCCAGGTTGCCATACCTCATTAGCACAGCAAGATGAACACCGGATTCATAAAAGTAGTTAATTCAGAGGTGGTAATATATAGGAGGATTGCAATAAGGATATAGTATAGGAAGAAAGAATTAGTTCGTAGAAAGAAAGATATGAAGTGATTTTAATCTCTTAGTTTAAGGGAAGACAGGGAGTGTATACACCGACGCCATTGTGATCGATTCTGAGCCATGTCACCAAGAGTCTCCAACCATTGGTTACGAAAGTCACGCGGACCCCAACCAAGTAGTCTGCATCTACCAACATGGCTCAGACTAGAAGTTAGTGACTTCAGGCACTGATGCCACGTTTTGGTTTGGCCGCCCCTAACTTTCTTCCAACCATCCCCTACACCGGTTAGCATTGCACGTCGTGGTAATCGGTGTTCAGGCATACGTAACACGTGGCCCAACCATCTCAGTCGATGAAGATTCATAACCTCATCAACTGATTTACCATCATTCCCTAATACCCTGCGTCTAACCTCACTATTACTTACCCGGTGATCCCAGCAGATGCCAGCAATATTTCTAAGGCATCTGTGGTCAAATACTAGTAGCTTACGGGTGTCTTCTACTCTTAAGGGCCATGTTTCGCTGCCGTAAATTAAAACAGAACGAACTGCCGCGCAGTATACTCGTCCTTTTATTGATAGACGGATATCTCGCCTCCGCCAAAGGTGACGTAAGTTGGCAAAAGCCAAACGAGCTTTACGAATCCGTGCTGAGATTTCGTCAGACACCAACCCATTAGGGCTGATCAGACTTCCAAGATAAGTGAAGTTGTCAACGCGTTCGACTACTTCACTCCCTATCCTTAGTTCAGGTGTTGACGCAGACCAGTCCTGAAGCAACAACTTGCATTTAGAGGGAGAGAAGCGCATCCCAAACATTCTGGCATTGTTGCTTAGTGCTACCAGAAGACTCTGCATTTTGTCAGCGTCTTCACCAAACAGGACTATGTCATCTGCGTATTCTAAGTCGATAAGTGGACCTCCTGGAAGGAGATCAATACCCGAGAATTCAGTCGACGAGAGTGTTATTTCCATCAATAGGTCTATGATGAAGTTAAACAAAAATGGAGAAAGTGGGCAGCCTTGACGGACACCACTTGAGGTTGCAAAAGTAGATGACAGTTCGCCATAAGCCCTGACTCGACTAGTAGTGTTCGAGTAAAGAGCCTTCACAAGGTTTATGTACTTCTGAGGTACGCCTTTCAATGACAGACACTGCCACAGAATCTCGCGGTCTACAGAGTCAAATGCTGCTTTTAAGTCAAGAAAGACCACCATCGTCGGACGCCGATAAGTATGCCTGTGTTCTAGAACCTGACGAATGGTGAATATGTGGTCGATGCAGCCACGACCAGGTCTAAAGCCAGCTTGGTTCTCTCGTGTTTGTAGTTCACGAGTCTTAGTTAGGCGCGTGATAATTATCGAGGCCAGTATTTTAGATACTATGTTTGTTAAACTAATCCCTCTGTGGTTGTCACAGGATGATTTTGACCCTTTCTTATATATTGGGACGATAAGTGATTGCGACCAGTCAGATGGGATAACGTCTAATTCCCAGATCTTAGCTAAAATATTAGTCAACCTAATCGCTAAAATTGGACCACCATCCTTAAAGACCTCTGGAGCCAATCCATCTGGACCAGCTGCCCTTCCTCGTTTCAGATTAACTATAGCCTTCTCAACTTCAGCAAGAGTTGGGGGACCTACTTCAATGTTCCATTCACATTGTCTGGGAATGGAGGGTAGTTGTAGAGTAGCTGAAGGCCAGCTGAACTGTTCTCTAAAATGTTCCGCCCATCGTTCTAAACGTCTGGACTGGGAGCAGATGAGAGTATCATCTTTTTCCGAAATAATCTCACTTACACTTGACTTATTAATTCCAGTTTCTTTTATTAGTCTGTAAAGCTGTCTTGTGTTCCCTATAGTCGCCGCCTTTTCCATCTCTTTTGCTTTCGTTACCCACCACTGCTCACGGTCGTTCCTTAGACTTTTTCTTAACCTAGATCTGATTTGTTTACGCTCTTCATCATGTTCAGAACCTGATGGGACGAGTTTGCGAGAATCCATCAGTGTGACAGACCTTGAAGAAATCCACTGGTTCCTTGTAACTCTGTGGTTTAAGTCACTAATAGATGTCACTGCTGTTTCCACAGCTGATTGTATGCCCTTCCAAGCAACATCTGGGTCAGCCTCGTCTTCACAACTACCTAAGTGTGACCTCAGTTGTTCCTGGAACCTACTTTTGGTTTTCTCGTTACTCAACTCAGTTCTAACGGGTCTTTTTAATGTGGCTTTTTTGCGTCCAGTGAGGCGCAAGCAGATGCGTGCCCGTATTAGGGCATGGTCGGAGTCCAAGCAGGTACTCCAGAATGAGCGACAATCTTCTACCGACCCTCTCCAACGATGACTGATGGCAATATGGTCTATTTGAGTCCATCGTTGGTTTGGTGTAGGGGGTCGCCATGTTAGACGATGTCTCTCCTTATGCTTAAAATTTGTGTTTGCTAAAAATAAACGATTGTCTGAGCATAGCTGCAGCAGACGATCACCATTATCTGTTCGCTGTGTCGGAATACTAAAATATCCACCTAAATGCCTTTCTGTTTGGTTTAAACTGCCTATCTGAGCATTAAAATCACCTGCTACGAGTACTATGTCTGAGCGTTTAGCTTTCTGAAGAAGTTCGGACAGCTTTCTGTAAAATTCATCTTTCACTTCATCTGAGCTGCAGTCAGTGGGAGCGTAGGCAGAAACGACAAAAAGGCAACGACGTGTGTCCCTATCCTTCCGAGTTCTTACGTAGCCGTTCAGCCGAACAGCACATAGACGACTGTTGACGGGGATCCACTCTAGCAGTGCTTGTTCGGCCCTCATGCTTAGTGCTATGCCTACACCTGCCAGTCCACGAGAACTTGCCATCGGGTCACCAGATACACGAAGGGTGTATCTCGTTGGCTCTCCGTTTGCCGAGGTGAGGTCAAGTGAATGACCACACTGGAATCCTGTATGCGTGTTTCGGAGACACAACATACATCAATGGAAAGAGACTCTAGGGTTTTAGCCAAGGAAGCCTGCTGACCGATTTGACATAGGGTGCGTACGTTGAAGGCTCCAATGTGTAGTTTGGAGCGAGGTTTCAGTAGACCTGGGACAGTGTTTTGCGCACTAGAATCGTTGGCTATGGTGACACTTGAGGTGGAAGCCGAGAGGGGAAATTTAGAGTTGAAAGTCGATGTAGGAGGAATAATAGGAATTGAAGCGGAGGTTGATTATGAATACAGTGGTCTTGAGTGCTGTTAGAAGTATGAGGGCGGTTATCACTTCCCGGTTGCCCACACCGTGGAAGGGTTGTTCTGGAGGTACCTGAAAAGGAAATTGGATTAGAAGTGGTCTTAGTGACCTGAGAGCGTGACCGCAGTGCCCAAGGGACAACTGCTTGAGGTCGGTCACACACGACCTTGTTATGGGTAATTTTTGTGTTAGCTCCGTACTTATTGAGACCTTACCGCCGGAGACGGATATCCGTGGGATAAGGCGAGGTGTGCATTTTTAGGGTCGACCTTTTCTAACCCCACCCCTCCTTGTGGGAAGGCAGCATCGCTGTCATGCTGGTTGTCTGAAGGAAACACCTTACTGCTGTCACACCTCTGTACAGTCAGCAGTACGACTTCGCCTTCGGACCTTGGGTTTGTTGCTTTTAGTCTTACCGCTCTTCAACCGACCTGTCTGACATGGTAGGACCTTGAGGAACGGTTGTTCCAGCCAGTATAGCTCGGTTGCTTCATCACGATAGGCAAGCCCGACCACCACGTCAAGGTAGCAACAACGGTCGGGCAAGTGGTTTTCTTAGGAGGCCGCACCCGGAGCCTTCGACCTAAAGGTCTAATCCACAAGGCAGTGGAGCATCGTAAGGAGATGCACTCCCACGGAAGCTGGTCACCAACGATTGGTTCATATGCCATTTGTACCCTCGGGATACTGGAGCTCATGTTCACCGTTGGTTTGGAATTAGGGTTTTCCAACTCCTCTAGGTGGACTCTTCATATCTACCGACCCGGTTAAAGCGCCAGACATTCGCTCCTCGTCCTCTCAATTTCGTAAATGACACCCCATTGCGAGAAGGCAGTGAGTAGGACTTCCCTGGTAATGGTTGTATGCACGCGGACATGTGAGAGCTGGCTCTCCCCATTCATGGTTGTACCAGGGCACTTGGGGGCATCAATTCATGTGAATAAATGTGAACACACAATCGATTGAGAAAATATTGAAATCCGGGAAATACTGAAAGCACCAGAGAATTCTTAGAAGCTTAGCACTCAGGTCAATCAGCAATGAATCAACACATTTGAAGCATGAACTTTTTGAGAAGTAAACTAAAGTTTCATTTTTTACTACATAAAATAACTTTAGAATTGACTTATTAAACTCAGTACAACATCTAGTCTGTATAATTGATTAAGCCCTTATTAATAGAAGGAGCATCTCTTAAAATGATTGGATGAATTTTATCTATATAACAATACTTAAAAATATCCCTTATCATCAGTGGTACACAGAGATAGAACAGGTTAGCAAGTAAACTACTTGTAGCAGTGACAGTATTGAGCTTTTATTATTATTATTATTATTATTATTATTACCTCTTCCAGTTATGCTTAAAAAATAATATATCTATGTAATTATTCTGTGTAGCAATGTATCATAAATATTGTTGGTCACCAGCTACAATGGGACTGGATCTCTTGACGGTGCTCCACTGCCTTGTGGATCAGACCTTTAAGTCAAAGGCCCCCTAAGAAAACCACCTGCTTCGGTCTGGTCACCTGGGCAGTATCACAGCCCACACATAAATCAAGTGACTTGTGTATCGCATATCTATTCGGTGCCCCTTTTTACCAATATTAATGTGTTCAAATAAATAAATACACTTATTCGTCTATGAAAAGAATGAAATGGTAATTAGTAAAACTTCGGAAGTATAAGACTTTAAAACAAAGTCTAAGTCTAATTTTTTTATTGTTTCATGTTGGGAAATATATATTACAATAACTATAACGAATATTTGGTTTTTAACAAGCCTAATTATATCTTATGATATTCAGTGAAGTGAGATGTAAATAAAGTCAACGACCTCGTTCGTCTTTTCATTTTTTTATTTTGAGCGCTATTACTCATGGAAATAAATACTTTGCTAGAACTTTCTTAACGGAAGTATGGTAAAGTAGATCAATAAAAAGTCATACATATTTGTTTAACAAACCACTCACGTACCATGATTTTCAGATTCCAATTTATTGATCAATTGTTCTGCAGCCACATGGATTCCACTAAATGAGAAATCACAATCCTTAGATTGTGAACGTGGTAAAGGTAGGTTGAATCGTTGATGATCACCATTATAAGTCTTTGCAATTATTTCGATAGCCTTACCACCTGCGACGCCTTTCAAACACTCATCTGACAAACGATTTAGTTTTAGACGCCTAGAAATCTGTAAATGCAAGAAATACACAGATCGCTTCATTTTGAGGCATTGACGACGACAACAGCAACAACGTAACGCACGTATTAACGGTCATTATATTTGGTTAGTAAGAAAAATTAACAACTTTACGAAAGCTTTTTACAATTCAGCCTATACTACTTAGATGGTTTGATCTTAAGTCTAAATTTGTTGAAATGCACTGAACAAATATCCAGAAAATGTATAAGCTGAGATTATTTTTCGCCTAGTGACTTAAAACGTTTGAGCAGTAAAATATTGCCTCTACGATATGTATATGGTTGGGTTAGCACCACAATCTTGATAAATTTGTTCAGTAACCTACCAGTGTTGGGGAGAATGAAAATAAAGAACTCGGTAACTTATTTATAATTATTAGTTAGTGCAGTTTGATATATTGATAAAAATTGGATATCTGTATTGGGCCACTAATTAATGCTATATGTTAAATATAACAACTGACCAGATAAGCAAAAGACATATTACTCAGTGTATTTTAATATATATTTATTGAACTGGTAGTGAATCAGTAGTAGAAACTGTAGTGCATCGATAAGTCGAGTATACATAGATTTTCTAGTCTAGCAATCCTTATATCGATTCGTATTAATCCATGTTTAGTTATACGAGGGTAAGTAATCAGTTTTACCCACAGGATGTAATAAATAGTAATAACAGTATTTTACCAAGCTACAACGGTCAGTATCTGTGAAACGATAATTCATTTAGTGTCATGATCTCGAAACACTGGTGTCGGCGGTGTAATTATGCATCACAAAAGTCATCCCACTGAATTATAGGTTGTCCACTATTGTGCTGGATTGATTGAAAAAGGGGGTAGGGAGTTAGTGTATGATATTGTGTCGTACTATAAAAGACAGCTGCATGGGACTAACACATGTTCATTGGAACTCTATGGACTTGGTTATAGAGAGGGTGCGACTCAGATCCAGAAGAACCATACAATAGTTTAAGACAAGGTGATAGTAAACCGTCATACTTAAGACGCAACACAAGTATATTGCGTAATCGTCTTTTGGATAAATGCCTGTTATATCAGTTATGACTTCAACGTCTTCCTCAAACTATTCAACAAATATTAGCGATTGAAGACAAAGACGTCGATTTTGATAGACTAGCAGATATAACCGATAAAATACACGAGCAGACTAAGATCCACTCTGTATCACACACAAACTCAACCAACGAGATCACAGAGTTGAGACAAACAGCCAGAGTCCTCGTCAATTAGACGGCTCAGCTTCATAATTGAAATACGCCTCGCCGCAGGTGTAGACGGAGAACCATAAGCCGTGCACCTGATAGTCCAGTGAGCAGCCAAGACCATATGTTGGTGTCACAGAAATTATGGCAATCAGGAGAAAGAATGTACCCCTCCCTGTAACTTTGTGGACAAACGGTAGGGAAACGTTAAAACCAACGATTGCTGTCATCTCCCCAACTCTCAAGAAAATCGTTTGTTATATGTCTCAGATAAAAGAACCAGAACACAGTTCTTAATCAGCACTGGGGCAAATTTTGATGTAGTACCATATACTACACTTGAGAAAACACACCTGACCCCAAACTAGAACCGCAAGTTGCAAACAGGATGGAAATCAAGACATATAGTAACAGGCAGCTACGGTTACATTTTGGTCTCAAATCAAATTTCTTATGGAACTTAGCTGACATCTTAGTTCCGATAATCGGTGTCGATATTTTACAACCCCGAAAAATACTCGTAGATGTTGGAAGCCGGAAACTTGTATCTACAAATCATAACGATGAAATTATAGGACTTATATCACGAGACATCAATCAAACCTCATCGCGAGAATGATGAATATACCAATTTGCTCAATCGGTTTCCTGATTTGTTACAAACGACTTACAAACGTGACAAACCAACACATACCGTCGTACACCACATTAAGACAGAGGGACTACCAGTGTTTGTATCTCCTGGACCACTCTCGTAAAGAACGAGTTCAACAAGATGATAGAGTTGGGTTCCATAAGTCCCCCCAGTAGTCCGTGGACATCACCGCCCCATGTGATACCTAAGAAGAACTCTTCCAACCCTGCGGCGACCAGAGTTCTTAACAGCTGGACGATACCAGAGAGATACCCTCCTCCAAACCTACATGACTACTCAGAGCCTATCTGATGTAAAGATTTTCTCAAAGGTTGATCTCGTTCATGCATATCATTACATTCCAATCTACCCAGGCGACATTCTGAAATGCTGTTAGTGCTCCATTCGGGCTATAAAAATTTGTCCGCATGTCTTTGGAACTCAGAAATCCTGGAAAAAGTTTCCAGAGTTTTATTGATCGAGTAATATACTTAAATAGATGACTGACTCATATTCAGCAAAGATAAAAGTGAACATCTAACTCATCTAAAAATGCTTTTCGAGAAACTCAATCAGTCAGCTACAACGTAGGACCAGGCACATATATACATCGGTCCAAGTTGCCATACTTCATTAGCAAGACAAAATGAACACCGAATTCATAGAAGCAGTTACTTCAATCGTGGTAATATATAAGGATATAGTCCGTAGAAAGATATGAAGCGATTTTAATCTCTTAGTTTAAGGGAAGACACCTACGCCATTGTGATCGATTCTGAGCCATGTCACCCAGTCTCCAACTATTTGTTACAATAGTCACGCGGATCTCAACCAAGTAGTCTGCATTTACTAATATGGCCCAGACGAGAAGTTAGTGACTTCAAGGGCTGATGCTACGTTTTGGTTTGGCCGCCCTAACTTTCTTCCAGCCGTCTCCAACACTAGTCAGCATCACGCGTCGTGGTAAACTGTGGTCAGGTATACGTAACACGCGGTCCAACCATCCCAGTCGATGAAGATTCACAACCTACTCAACTGATTCACCACCATATATATTAGTGTAGAGTCATGATGAAAAAAGTCTAATTGAAAAGAAATTAATAACTTACCTACAATTGATCAACACCCATAAAATACATATGAATATTCCTACATTTTGATTACACGCTGACTTACTACTTCCCAGTGTGCTTTGTGTCTTGGATGCTTGTGGGTTTAATTACCGATAATACACTTTCCCAACAACTGGTGTTCTGGCTTTTGAATAATCTCAAGTGAGATAACAATACTCAGCGGGATATATGGTAGAGTCAAATGGAGAAGACTTAAACCTCACATATTACCAGTAACATTACTTTAGTGCTCTTTACAATGCTGATATGCAGTAAGTGAATTTGGAGTGTAATACAGCTGGATCACATCTTATAGGTTTCCAGTTTGTTACCTTGTCAGTGGTAACCTGAACCCCTTGATTTAGGCAGTATCAAAAATTAACTCGACCGTTGTTGCTACCTTGACGTGGTGGTCGGGCTTGCCTATCGTGATGAAGCAACCGAGCTATACTGGCTGGAACAACCGTTCCTCAAGGTCCTACCATGTCAGACAGGTCGGTTGAAGAGCGGTAAGACTAAAAGCAACAAACCCAAGGTCCGAAGGCGAAGTCGTACTGCTGACTGTACAGAGGTGTGACAGCAGTAAGGTGTTTCCTTCAGACAACCAGCATGACAGCGATGCTGCCTTCCCACAAGGAGGGGTGGGGTTAGAAAAGGTCGACCCTAAAAATGCACACCTCGCCTTATCCCACGGATATCCGTCTCCGGCGGTAAGGTCTCAATAAGTACGGAGCTAACACAAAAATTACCCATAACAAGGTCGTGTGTGACCGACCTCAAGCAGTTGTCCCTTGGGCACTGCGGTCACGCTCTCAGGTCACTAAGACCACTTCTAATCCAATTTCCTTTTCAGGTACCTCCAGAACAACCCTTCCACGGTGTGGGCAACCGGGAAGTGATAACCGCCCTCATACCTCTAACAGCACTCAAGACCACTGTATTCATAATCAACCTCCGTCTTCAATTCCTATTATTCCTCCTACATCGACTTTCAACTCTAAACTTCATTTTTCGGCTTCCTCCTCAAGTGTCACCATAGCCAACGATTCTAGTGCTCAAAACACTGTCCCAGGTCTACTGAAACCTCGCTCCAAACTACACATTGGAGCCTTCAACGTACGCACCCTATGTCAAATCGGTCAGCAGGCTTCCTTGGCTAAAACCCTAGAGTCTCTTTCCATTGATGTATGCTGTGTCTCTGAAACACGCATACAGGATCCCAGTGTGGTCATTCACTTGACCTCACCTCGGCAAAACGGAGAGCCAACGAGATACACCCTCCGTGTATCTGGTGACCCGATGGCCAGTTCTCGTGGACTGGCAGGTGTAGGCATAGCACTAAGCATGAGGGCGGAACAAGCACTGCTAGAGTGGATCCCCGTCAACAGTCGTCTATGTGCTGTTCGGCTAAACGGCTCCGTAAGAACTCGGAAGGATAGGGACACACGTCGTTGCCTTTTTGTCGTTTCTGCCTACGCTCCCACTGACTGCAGCTCAGATGAAGTGAAAGATGAATTTTACAGAAAGCTATCCGAACTTCTTCAGAAAGCTAAACGCTCAGACATAGTACTCGTAGCAGGTGACTTTAATGCTCAGATAGGTAGTTTAAACCAAACAGAAAGGCATTTAGGTGGGTATTTTAGTATTCCGACACAGCGAACAGATAATGGTGATCGTCTGCTGCAACTGTGCTCAGACAATCGTTTATTTTTAGCAAACACAAATTTTAAGCATAAGGAGAGACATCGTCTAACATGGCGACCCCCTACACCAAACCAACGATGGACTCAAATAGACCATATTGCCATCAGTCATCGTTGGAGAGGGTCGGTAGAAGATTGTCGCTCATTCTGGAGTACCTGCTTGGACTCCGACCATGCCCTAATACGGGCACGCATCTGCTTGCGCCTCACTGGACGCAAAAAAGCCACATTAAAAAGACCCATTAGAACTGAGTTGAGTAACGAGAAAACCAAAAGTAGGTTCCAGGAACAACTGAAAACGAGGTTGACCCAGATGTTGCTTGGAAAGACATACAAACAGCTGTGGAAACAGCAGTGACATCTATTAGTGACTTAAACCACAGGGTTACAAAGAACCAGTGGATTTCCTCAAGGTCTATCACACTGATGGATTCTCGCAAACTCGTCCCATCAGGCTCTGAACATCGACAACAAATCAGATCTAGGTTAAGAAAAAGTCTAAGGAACGACCGTGAGCAGTGGTGGGCAACGAAAGCAAAAGAGATGGAAAAGGCGGCGACTATAGGGAACACAAGACAGCTTTACAGACTAATAAAAGAAACTGGAATTAATAAGTCAAGTGTAAGTGAGATTATTTCGGAAAAAGACGATACCCTCATCTGCTCCCAGTCCAGACGTTTAGAACGATGGGCGGAACATTTTAGAGAACAGTTCAGCTGGCCTTCAGCTACTCTACAACTACCCTCCATTCCCAGACAGTGTGAATGGATTTTTTTCTTCCTGTGCTATATCCTTATAGCAATCTTTCTTTTATATATTACCACCTCTGAATTAACTACTTTTGTGAATCCGGTGTTGACCTTGTTGTGTAATGAGGTATGGCAACTTGGACCGATGCATATATGTGCCTGGTACTACGTTGTAGCTGACTGACTGACTATCAAAAATTAAATTTAGTTACTCAGTTTTTGAAAATATAAAGCCGCAATCGATAAAATATGTAAGTTACAATGTGAAATTAAAATCACGCAAACTCACCTTATCAAGAATATCACCTGGAGAGGCATCTAATGCTGTACCTAATAAAACGTAATCCTCTAACCCTTGAACAATGCCCAAAATACTGTGACCACCACTTATTAAGAGGATTATATAGGGAAATTTCAATCTAAAACGTTTTTTTTAAAGAATTTATAAACGTGATGAAGCAATGAAATAAATACTAATTACTCTAAATCAGTTATTTATAAAACCTTTTTATATACATTATTCCATTATTCTACAAAATATTTTGCTTGAGAACGAAAGATAGTAGGTCCTAGCAGCCTTGATAATCATAAGTGCGGGCGGGATCGTAGATGCGCACTGCTGAGGAGTCCCATAATAGGACGAAACGGCTGTTCGGTGCTTCCAGTTTTCCAATGGTGGTCTAACATCAATCGGTTCATGATCTAAATCAAAAAGCTCATGATATGCTTAGTTTCAAATAAGAAAGAAAACTGACTTATAATTTGAGTAAACATCAGAGATGGCAGTTTTTTACAGAATCTTTCTAAAAGTTTTGTTGCATCATAAATTTATGACCAACGACACTTTTAAATATCATGTTTAAGCATTTAATTAGATATCTTGTGTTATAAATTCACAGAGAGAGAAATTACACATCGCTGATCAAATTATGCTTAGACTATACTTATTACATTTAACAATAAGTAATAATTAACTTCTAGGATTTGTGGTTTTACACGAGCGCAACTGGAAATGTTAAACACGCTATTTCCGTACATAAACTATGATTCATTTGCACAGAAAATCTTTGCTTACTGGGGATCTGTAAACAGAGCTGTCAGTGCATGAGCCTCCATATGATCAACCGGTATGATAGGAATCCTTTGACAAATAAATAATTCGTCAACAAAGAAATTAAAACTACTTTAATCGACTTGCTAAAGACTTAGCGAAACTAACTCCAATCTTTAGAGATAGTGGCATACCTGGTTTTACTGTAACTGCAACAAAATTTAAATCCTAGAGGAAAAGATAGATCAATTAAAAATAACCATGAACAAAAAATACCCGAAACCCAATGTTGGATTTGGCCATAGCCGTATTTACAACTGATTCAATGTTTTCCTTGTGAAGTTCAGCTGCTACGGACGGTACTACACCACCTAACCTTCAAAAATATTTACTGATTAATGATTCTTTTCGTTACATAACACTAATCCTCGCTTGCGAAGATATACAATCTCCAAGTAGTTTTCCTGATGTTTCTATAACAGCTGCACCTGTATCGTCACAGCTCGTTTCTATACCAAGAACACTGGCAAAATTACGCTGGCAAAAATAGTGGTGCTATAGTGAAATTTATATGGTCCGATGAATATTTCCACATTACCCACAATCTTTTTTCTGTTGCTTTTTTACAGTTGTGAATGAAATTAAGAGCAAACCTGATCTCACTTTGCATTATTTTATAAACCTGAAAGACAATATTAATCAGGTCATTGGATCCCATAGGCTAGTTACCGATAATATTAATTACAATAATATATCGGTGAAATGTACTAGAGACATTGACTAAGGTTTGCATACGCATGTAGTTTACACTTTAGGCTTACTGTTACGAAGAAATAGAACACTCTACCCTGGTCTAAGATAAATGAAAGACAATAATATTTCAGATCATACAATCAAAAGTCTACATACGCGTATGTGAGCGATATTTCATTCGAGTTAACTGTGCTATCCGGACACTTAAAGCAAACATCGATCATAGATCTCAACTTATTATATTAGCCATTTTAAAATAAGAACCTAGAAAAACAATATGGCTATTCCAATTTACTTACTAGAGACATTGACTAAGGTTTGCATACGCATCTAGTTTACACTTTAGGCTTACTGTGACGAAGAAATAGAACACTCTACCCTGGTCTAAGATAAATGAAAGACAATAATATTTCAGATCATACAATCAAAAGTCTACATACGCGTATGTGAGCGATATTTCATTCGAGTCAACTGTGCTATCCAGACACTTAAAGCAAACATCGATCATAGATCTCAACTTATTATATTAGCCGTTTTAAAATAAGAACCTAGAAAAACAATATGGCTACTCCAATTTACTTTACTTTTACCTGTTGGAGAAGAACAGGTTTATTTAGGTTTTAATTACTACTTGTGTGACGTTTTTATCTGTATCTTTATAGAGATGCTACCTAGTTGATTAACGTACAGTGGATATGCAGGTTACGAACCAGTGGCCTTTCAGCTCGAAATGCAGTATCTAGACTGAAAAGCTAGAGGTTAAATGGCAAATACGTGTTGGTTTCGATCTTAAAATTTGTTTGAATCGATAAACATGTTCCTAATCTTGATTTTTGTCTTTTATTTACTTTTTGACAAGCGACGAACCAGCCGTGTGGATCTATTACAGTCAGTCAGTCAGTCAGTAACAACGTAGAACTTCGTACGTACGTACGTACATCAGTTCGAGTTGCCACACCACATTAGCACAGAGATGCAGTTGTCGATTCAATCCCGTAGTGGTAGAGTAGCAAGAGTATAAGCAGTAATCGGGAAGATTAGGGTTTAGAGATGTTATGTAAAGAGTATAATCCAGTGAAATAAATTTGGAAAGAGGAAAAAAGGGACATGAAGGATTCAGAAGATTAGAATTTGGGAGAACACAGAGAGTGGATGCACCTGCGCCATTGCAAACGATTTTGAGCCATGTCATTCAGGGTCTCTAACCATCGGTTGCTATCATCTCGCGGTCCCCAACCAGGTAGTCTACACCTACCAACATGACTCAGTTCACTTGTCAGTGACTTCATGGACTTGTGCCATGTTTTGGTTTGGCCGCCCCTAGCTTTCTTCCAACCTACTCCTATACCACTGAACATAGCACGTCGAGGGGATCTATTACAGTATTCCAGATTACTATATCTTTGGAGTCAGACTAAACAAATAGGCCAGTCGGCAAGTGTTAAGATTACAAGGGATAGAGAAATCGAAGATGAATCACGAAACTGCTCCATGTGGGTTACGCTTAGAAAAAGGGTACGTTTACGGAAGTAGTTTGTAGAGGACACTGGAAATTTCAACTAAACTTTAGTATATAGTCAGTCACAAAACTGTTTCTATGAAACAATTTGCGATTTTTAAGTGGTAAACTTACAAGAGATAAGTCTTTTCGTAATGAGTAACGAACCTTTTCATCTGAGTTATTTTTAACATTAAAGAGAAAGGTACATGTTTAGAAATTCGAGTTTTTAATCAAGATAAGGAACTTAAACCAGGTCTTGAGTCTATATACAGTGTTTCAAGTCTAGTCCTTTTGTAGCATAGTTCCAGCTCAAAAACTCTGTACCTACAAATAAACCGAAACTCTGAGTTTTTGCTATTTTTCGGAATTATGATAAATTTAAGTAAAAAAATATAGGTGCAGAAGTTGCAGATAGTTTAATCCTCTACATAACTAGCACTTTTGACAAAGCACTGTTCAAGTGTTTGCAGTACCTTAATTAGGGCTCGTAATAAGTCTGCACCACATCATAGACTTATAACCAGTAAGGCCCTTACATGCCCGCCAAGAATGAGACAGGTCGCGTCTAGCCAAGTATCTTGAGCACCAGGGAAGCATGGACAGTAGCATGAGTGGAGTGCTTGAAAAGAGAACAAGAGTGAAGGATGACTCGATGGCCCAGTAGAAGCACACAATACACTTAAATCTATTGAGGCAAGCAATAGACAAAAATAACACAAGGCCCAGATCACAATGCAAACTAGAATCTGATAGTTGAATCCAGTCCTAGGATTATTGCACTTTAAACTGGGAGCGCTGTTCTAAGAGGGGAGTGGTATTTTCCCTCGTTTCAGTTTCAGTTTGAAAGAACAGGAGGCTTGGCGGCCTGTGTTAGTCTTGGCGATGGTGGACTCTCAGTTGATCCAACTTTCTTTTCAAAGAGTCGACGGGTGGAGCCTCAACCACGTGCTGAGGTAATGAATTCCACTCGTTGATGATTCGATGAGAAAGTCGATAGTCAACTGACAAGTAGTTTGTTCTGGGCTTATGAACTTTTTCGGAGTGTCCTCGTAAATTGTGTTTTGGAAGACAAGAAAAATGAGGGCATATCAGGTGTAAATTTATCACTAAGCAATTTGAAAAGTGTAATCAAGTCGCCTCTAGTTCTTCGATATGACGAAGGTAATAGGTTAAGCTTGACCAGTCGAGCATCATACGAGAGCTTCGCTATTCCGTTAGTCAGCTTAGTTACTAATCTCTGGACCTTCTCCAAAAGTCCAGTCTTTTTTAAGCAGGGGCTAGCCGCTTGTGTGCAGTACTCAAGTTTAGGACGTACGAAAACTGTATACAAAGTCAAAAAGGTTTTAGCGTCCACATGATTAAAAGCCTTACGTATTGACCATAAGGTTCAAAACCGTTGACGGCTATTGCACAGCAGTCTGTAGTAGTCTTTAAGCATTGGCTTACGATGACTCCTGAGTCATTGTGCATGTGGACAACAGGTAGCTCAGTGTTATTCATCGTGTATGTATCTGTACTTTGATGACCGACATGCATCACAATACACTTGGATGTATTGGCAACTGCCAGGTTTGAGACCATTCAGATAATTTCTCCAGGCCATTTTGGAGTTCTAAGCTATCACCCTTACTTCGTATCGCTCTCCATGTCTTGACAGCGTCAGCATATAGCAAGACCGATGATGATATTAGGCGAGGAAGATCATTTATAAATGTATACATACAAGAGGAATAACACTGGCCCCAAAACTGTACCCTCGAAAGTAAATCTTTTAGTTTTGACTGTGTCCTGAGGTTAAAAGGCTTCTTTTAAACTTATTTATGCTGGACTTTCAGTTAAAGTAACAGGTGTTTTAGTCTTTTGTATTCAGTGTCTACCACGTGACATAGGACAGTTCACCTGGGCGCGGTAAAAAGTCAGGTTTTCTCAAAGCCGCCCGCGGCTTCGCTTCAACGACCTTGAACGACCTGACAAGAGGCATACAAAAGATGCTCGAAGCCTAACTCGCATTGGCTTTGTATGTTCTGCTGTACGGACAAAAAGGTACTAATTCAGGAGGCTATGGGCCTATTGGCTTTGGCCTGCAAGAAAAACGATGACACATGCGCTGACAACACCGGCACTGACAGTGACGATTGTGTCAGTGTAGTACCTGCTATTACGCGACGCCTCAAACAACCAACTCTAACCGACGCAAGAGTGAGATCGCCGTTAACATTAACAAGGGGAGTAATACCACCTGGTGCTGACATTGATAACAATGCACCTTTAGTGGGAACCGACGAACTGGATAAAACCATCACCGTTCCAAATAGTCCCAATGTCCTGAGGGATGAAAAATGGACTACAGTACGTAGGAAACGAAACGAAAGGAAAAAAGCTGTAGACAGTACACAGGTAGTTAGTAACTCACTGATGGACTCTCATTGTGAGTCACATACTGCACTATCAAAATCTGATGGTAAGAGTGAAATCCATCCTGGCGTGACTGTGAAGAAAAATCAAATAACAGCTAAAAATAATGACTGTTTACTTGATAAGTCCTTGGTGGACTCTCAGACCAATCCGTCAAAGCTCCAAAGTAAAGCTTCGTCTAACACTGTTGTGAGTCACTCACAGGAGTCTGTTACAATAAAAGCTAATCGTAAGATACCAGCAGTTAATATACAGGATCTATCGTCACAGTCGAAAGCTGTTAACACAATTTCAAAGGAAGCTAAACCCCTTCCTAGTTTAATTATTTGGAATCTAGAGGAGTCGAAAGATAACGACTCTGCTAGAAGACATGCACATGACCTGCAGTTAGTGGAGTCTGTGGTAAGAAATGTGCTACCTGAAGAAATTTTAGGGGTACATATCACGAATGTAATACGACTCGGTAAATGAGTTGGGGGCTAGACCCAACCAAGAAGAATTCTGAAGCTGGTTCTCGGGAGTTTCGAAGAAAGAGACATATTATTGAAAAACGCACCAAAAACTCGTGACTCAAATATCCGTATTCGACCAGATTGGCCGCTTGAGGATCGAATCAAGTGGAAGAATGCTCTTACGGAGTTGAGGACTCGCAAATTAAATGGCGAAAATAACCTTACCATTAAGGGTTTTCGGGTAGTCAGGTCTTGGAAGCCAATGCTTCCGAGGCCTGTATGGGTAGAACGATTGATTTCCAAAACACCTTAAGTGTGTGCTACACGAACGCTCGTAGTCTTAGAAATAAAACGTCCGAGCTAAGTCTGATGGTGCAAGAATTATGTCCCGATATAATCGTTGTTACAGAAACTTGGTTCACCGTTGATATAGACTGTTCTCCTTTCATTGCTGGTTATATCTGTATCAGAAGTGATAGAGTTTCAAGTCGCAAGGGGGAGGTATAATATTTTACGTTAGGGATCACTTTCGTATACAATCAACCATATCGGAGGCTCATATCAGTGGCACATGTGAGGTTGCATGTTGTAAGATTAAATCTAGAAATGGGTTAGTGACTATAGGGGGAATATACCGTAGTCCGTCTTGTCTTGCTGACGACTTTATCCTAAGACACATCTGTTCTTGGAGTATGGCAGAATGTTGTCTCATCATTGGGGACTTCAACGCACCGCATATCAACTGGATAGAGCTTACAGCTCCAGGTAGTGGTTTCGATAGCGACCTTTTATCTACCGTTATTCAGTGTGCACTTGTACAATGTATCACAAAACCGACACATATTGATTTGCATCATGATCCGTCACTGCTGGACCTCGCCCTCACCCACCACTGTGAGGATGTCTTTGATATCCAGCACCTTCCCCCACTAGTGAACAGTGATCACGTTGTAATTCACTTTAAGTTTAGGACACATGGTATACAATTCGTATCTGCTCCACCCCGTCCCAATATCTGGCGAGCTAATATTCCGGAAATCAGAAACTGTGCTATCTCGACTGATTGGTCGGTCGACGCGGATGGATTGATCGAAGATGAATGGAATAAGTTTAAGGCTACATTCGAGTCCGTAACGTCGCCGTTTATCCCATGGTCAGCACGTAAGCTATCACATTGCCCTCCATGGATTAATAAGGAAACCCGGAAGCTGTTAAAGCGTAGGAAACATTTCTGGGACTTATTCTTGTTGACAGGTCATGCACCATTTAAGCGTGAGTACCAAAAATACCGTAATATCTGTAAGAAAACCATAACCAAATCCCGTACCACTTACGAACGACAGTTAGTATATGATAGCCGTACTTGTCCGAAACGATTGTTTTCGTATGTTAAACGGCAAATGAAACGTAGTGATGGTATTCCCCCGTTGCTGTTACACGAAAATTCAGAATTACTAGCTGAATCAGATCGAGCAAAAGCTGAGACTTTTTCAGATTATTTTAGCGAAGTCTTCTCTACGTTTATTGTAACAAATACTTGTCCCACTCACACCGAGATACCAACCATTGAATCTGTACAGGTGACTGAGGAAACTGTCCTTCCGTTGATAACTAACCTCAAACCTGGTAAGATACCGGGCCCTGACGGGTTACATCCACGGTTGCTGTCATCTCTTGCGGACATTATTTCAAAACCGCTTGCGACACTCTTCAACATGTCCCTCTCACTCGCCAACTCCCTAGAGATTGGAAGGACGCTATAGTTAGTCCTATATTTAAGGACGGTCAGCGACAGATAGTATCTAACTACCGGCCTGTCAGTCTAACTAGCATAGTCGTTAAGTTACTCGAAAAGATAATTCGGGTTAGGTTGCTAAGCCACATAGATTTACACAATCTGTTAGCTCCTGAGCAACACGGATTTCGTAACAAGCGTTCATGCTTGACTAACTTGCTTATTGCGAGGGAGGATTGGACAGCAGCCCTAGATCACGGTCTGTCTGTCGACGTGATATTCATAGATTTTAGCAAAGCGTTTGACAAGGTTTCACACGTAGGTCTTATGCAGAAGCTCACGAGCTTCGGAATAATAGGTACTGTACATGAGTGGATAGGAAATTTCTTATGTGACCGCAGACAGAGAGTTAGGGTCAATGGAACGCTATCCGATTGGAAGCCGGTCAAAAGTGGTGTACCCCAAGGCACCATCTTAGGCCCTCTGCTCTTCCTTCTCTACGTTAATGAGTTACCACTGTTACTTAGGTCGTCGACATTATTGTTTGCGGATGATGTAAAAATCTGGAGAACAATAAAAAGTGCGGCTGATCATGTGGATCTTCAAGCTGACTTAGACGATTTAGTTAGATGGGCTCGAGAGTGGGGCTTAGAAATCAATGCTAGGAAGAGTGTACTAATGCACATCGGTCACGGTAATAGTTACCGTTACACTATTGAGGGTAAACCTCTTCCATGCGTTCAAGAGCATAAGGACTTAGGAGTAATATTAAGTCATGATTTAAAAACAACTGCGCATTGCAAAGCAGCCGCTGTCAAAGGTTTTCGTGCGTTATGGTCACTTCGCCGAGCGTTCAAATCTTTTGACGAGGAAACGTTTCGAATTTTATATCCCATATATGTTAGACCACATTTAGAGTACTGTATCCAAGCAGCTAGCCCGTGTCTAGTAAAGGATACTAACTCCCTTGAGCGTGTCCAGCGTGTGGGAACGAAATTAGTGAAGGGTCTTTCTAGACTCCCTTACGATGAGCGCTTAAAACGCCTAAATCTTTTCCCCTTGTCGTATCGTAGGACACGAGGTGACCTTATACTGGCATTTCGTATCTTTAATTATGATTTGGGTGTTAATATGTCTTATCTTTTTGCTCCCTCCAGCACTAATAATCTCCGAGGTCATAGCAAGAAGGTTCATAAACCACGATCTAATAAACTTAAAGTGGGGTCCCGTTTTTCTCATCGAGTAGTCAATGATTGGAACGCCTTACCCGAACAAGTGGTATCAGCCCCATCAGTGAATACTTTCAAGGAGAAGCTGGACCTTCACTGGAAAGCAATGTTTCAGGATTAACACAGGTTCATCAACCTACTATCCTTATTACTGAAGACTGAGGCAGTCATCCCGTATTTCAATCGTTGTAGGTTTGTTGGGTGTCAAACCACTAATAAACTGGGATAAAAGCTATGTAAAAGGCACAAAAATTACGAAAATTGGGGTGTGATGGAAAAATGCTGTTAACAGCTGCTAACTAACGACATTTAGAAACCTCGACAACACGCAAAGCTTGCGCGAAAACCCATAGCTTTTATCTTGTTATTCCCGCTCCTGTGTGGGCTGACCTAACGAATTTAATGGCGCAAACAAAACATGCTTCGTTCCTGTTAATTAAAGGATGAAATGCGACAACTGCACCAATCGATGTCACAACGAGTGCATCGGACTCACACCGGCTGCATAAAGAGGTATTACAAGCCACTACTATGTTGGTTGTCCAGACCATGTTGCTTTAAATGTCTGCTGATTTTTTATGCGATTGACTTGATTAACGAAGCTAGATAGATTCCCTCAGACAGACAGTCAGCGACAGATGAGTAACTTTAAAATCTCGAAGAAAAATCGAGTAACACCATCAGCTCACCTTTAGAGCGAAAATATCAAGGTGGACATATATAACATTGTGGATAAAAAAACATAGACGTAAGCACAGCTTAAAGTAAAATCTAAGAACCCAAAAAGGAAGCAAGCCAAAGGGAGCTCTGAATATGTGTGACCAGTGAAGTGTCATTGGGCTCCGAGCCAAACCATCCGGCAGTTGAGTCACCGAAAGTCGAACAATTCACCCATTCTCGTCAAGTTCAAGAACAACCAATTAATAGCACACCATGAACTATCCTACTTTTTTAATGACGTCCCTTGTGTTGTAAGGCCTTCAAAGCAGCCATAGTACCTCGATACGATGAAGGGGTAATCCACGTTAGGTGCTGACTGTGAGATGCAACTTCAAAGTCAGCCAGATCGTCACACCGTTGCCATCTAACTGGAGTAAGCTCTTGGTCATTTGACACTATTCAT